GAGGAGGAGTTTCGTTTAGTGCTGTCGGAACTCACCAAATACAACGTAATGAAGCAGGAGATTCGGTCAAATTCTCGTAAGACCAGTGGTATTAGCGAAGACGAGAAAAAAAAGTTCATAGAATAGGGGAGACAACAAGCGCGTCAATTATTCCGTGCCAAAACCAAAGAACTGGATGGAGATTAAAAATAGATTGCTTACTATCATTAGATCACATTTAGAAGAATGCTTACATAAATATATAATAATGGAATTTATGCTCAAGGACAAAATTATCAAATTGAGAGAATTACCACAAGGTATATATTATATCAGTGATATCAAACCAACCAAATACGGTCATCAATTGTTTCTTACCAATTACCAAGAAGAATATATAGTCTGGTCTCCTAGTAAAATGAACGAAGAACTTAGTAAAAATGTTGAATATCACTTGGTTAGAAATAATGGTATACGTATAAGTAAAAGTAATAGAAAATATTTTCATTACAATTTAGTTTAATCTCATGACTATCGTTGAATCACATCATCATTTTTACATAACAAATTCCCTCTATAGTGGAGGTATGGGTATATAAATCTTGCTCCAGTGGAAGTGGTACCTATACAAATTTATATCATAGAAGCATTGATTGACTCCAGATGGTGGTGAGCTAGAGTCAATTTAGTTTAATCTCATGACTATCGTTGAATCGCATCATCATTGACACATAAAAAATTCCATCTGTAGTAGCAGTATAGGTAAATAAATCCGGCTCCAGTGGAGTTGCGGCAAAACCCCTATTACTCGTTTTCCATGATATGCACGCAATTTGTTGCGTTTGGGCGATGTCGCTCACAAAAAATTTAGGAATGTGTTTTGACGAGCTGTTCTTCTTCATGCTTCGTCCAGGACGTCGTATTTTACTCATTCACTTATATATTTTCATATGACTTAAGCCCGGATAAAAATACATCCATTTTCATGGTGGTGCGTTTTCAATGCTGTTCAGTATATATACACATGGAAATTAATCAAGCAACAATTCACAGACCTGTGAATTAAGAAACAAAAAACAGCATTTTACTGATTGATCATTGTAACATATTGCATCTTGCTGTATAGCATGACGTTTTTTGAGACATGTAATGCACGTGCATCGACGCGCAGTGCACGGGCAATGTCAAAACGACAACATTGTTGAAATCGAGTTTGGAGTCATGACATGTCACACTCCCTCCTTTCAATTTGTATTGCGTATTCAGTACCCTAATTGTCATGGCACGTCGTAAATTGTCAGAGGCTACAAGGTAGCAAATTATTGGCATGAGAAATGCAGGAATGTCCCTCAGACAAATTGGACGTCAACTAGGGCGCAATTCTTCCATCGTTTCAAGACTCTTGAACAAACTCCTGTCAACAAGACGATAGGATAGAGCATTGTTGAGACTTGTTAGGCGCCGTCCATGGGACTCAAGCACATCTTTAAAGCAACAGTGGTTACCAGGAAGATGCCTTTCCTTCAGGACAGTCGGAAATCGGCTGATAGCAGCAGGATACAGTGTCAGAAGACCCACCAACCGTATTAAACTCTCTCCTACTCACAAATTGTAAACCTATAGAAAGTGTGTTCTGTGTTGTGATTGGCTAATTTGGGTCACATGACCAAATGTCTAAGGGTGAAAATATTATTTGAATTCCATGAAGCAAGCGACCGAATCACTGTGTAGGAAATAGAGATTACTACACGAGTGTCTGTCAGATACCATTGATCTTACGAGTTGTTTCAGAACGTATCTAACGAGCGAAAGCGAGTTAGATACGCTTTGTAACAACGAGTTGTAATATCAATGGTATCTGACAGGCACGAGTGCAGTAATCTGTTTCTTTCACACCCCAAAATAGCATCTTTTAAGCATCGAACCGGTGTATTTGTCATGATTGCAGTAGCGCATTATACATGACACCACTGTCATAAGTGACGTCATCCTATGTGCTGCTTACTACTCATAAATAATGTGACCCGACACAAAAAGGTTTCCGTCATATCTGGATTATCAAGGCGATGGTGAAAATGCAAACTAGACAAAAACAAAGAACACGCTGGGTGCCAAGTTGAAAGTTTACACCTCAAAGAAATTACCAAATATGTACAACAATGTTTACTTCCGTATGACATCACTACTGGTGACCGACTTTTACAAAATGGCGTGTTCATTGACAACAGTACGCGGGATTTCCAGAGGAGGATTTTCGTTGATTGAGGGATAATACACATAAATGGGTCACGTAAGTAATCAGAAGCATTCTAACAATCTGCGTACTGTTATTTGTGTACCATGTTTTCCAATGTAAGAAAGAGAATTAGTCAGAAATGCAGATAACTACCGTCATCGTTGTGCGTGATTTAGCGTCAGTCATGGCGCCACACAGGACGGAAACTTTTGTAAAAGGGTTCTGTTGAATTTACCACATCATTGTAATGTATATATGTGTATTTCCATAATGAGTGCAACGATACTCTTCCCATGAATATTCTCAAAGGCGTGATCGAGCCAATGTATGCAACAATTAGACGAAAGTACCTCTAAAAAGGCTACACAGTGTAAAATCTGAATTTTGCTTTGTTTACATTTCAGCAAGTACAGTTTTCCGAGCAGTTTTCGTTTCCATACCTAACTTATTTCGCATGATTTCATCTAGATAATTTGCATTAGTGACAAAGACCATTTATCCATTGTTTCGAAAATGAATGAGGGAATTCAGGGTTGCATGTATAGAATTAAATATTGAAATATACCTGATCGTCTCATAACCGGCGTTTTGTAAACACAATCCAATATGTCGGAACGTACACTTCGGCGTTCGTGCATGCGTATTATCCAAAACATTCTAAACGATTCTAGACTTATCAGCGACGTTTCAGAATTATCAGTAGTGATTTAATACCCGTGATCACTAATATGCTAATTATTCTACTTTAATTATTCGAGTAAATATCCGATATTTAGATTTCTAAACACACAGTAAATATTTTTATAACGCCGTGAATTGTGATTTGGCGAGATTTACAATGTACCTAATTTTCAGAAGTCACTTTCAGTAATTTTGAATTGCATAAAATGACAGTAAATGATAAAGAGAAAGGGGAATTCAAAACTGTGAAGTGTATTAATCTGCGTGATGTATTTTGAATTTTTTTCGATTTCGAAGTGAGGGTTGAAGAGGAGGGACATATGTGTCGCTGTGGCATCCAGGTGGTTTACACTCTGAAAAAACGATTATGTTGACATAACAACAGATAATGTAACTGATAATAATAACAAACAAACTCGCAGACGATTTCGAGTTTGTTTATTTTTATTATTAATAATACGGTGAACATTCGACTGAAGCACCAGCAACTTATGAATGACTTACACTCAGGAAAGTAGTCCGTCATCATTACCAAAATCACAATCACCATAGCAACAACAGAACGTTCGATGTTGACGCCTCACAACCGTTCAAGTACGAGGTGTCAAATAGTGCGCATGTTTTTTTCTAAATAAAACAATAGGTTTACAATATCGATAAATACTATGTGTGTGTCTATTTCCGGGATTCTATCGAGTATTTGCATCTTGGAAATTTTCATTCGAGCCCCTCAAGCTAACGCTTTCGGGTCTCGAGATGAATTTCCAAGATGCAAATACTCGATAAAATCCCGGAAATAGACACACACATAGTATTTATCTTCTAATTAGCACGACTTGGCAGGTATTTATCAACGTGTTCGCTGGAACATTGCATCATGGCGGAGGATTCACTTTTGATTAATTTTGATAATTATCCTCCTACCACAAGACCCATCTTCATGGATGACAATGCAAGGCCTCACAGAGCACCTGCTATCACTCATATCTTGCAACAGATTGCTGTTGAGACCATTCCATGGCCAGCCATGAGTCCAGATTTCAATCCAATTGAGCATTTTAGGCCGTTGTGTTCGACAAAGAGACCGACCTGTCCATACGCTCAATGACTTGACTGCTGCTTTGCTTGAGGAATGGAACAGAATTCCTCAGAATCTAATCCAGAGATTGATCCAAAGAATGAGGAGGCGTCTTGAAGCAGTTGTTCAGGTTCAGGTAGTTTCGCAAGACACTGATTGAAAGTCAATATTTGGACTTGCAGGACATTATTCTTCAATTCCGTGAACCCGAAGTGTGCATGGTACTGACAGTTAAGTCTGTGCAACAAAAGTGACATTCGTTATTTCTTTTGATGAAATTAAGTCAGTTTCCAAATCCAAAATAAAGCACATTTTTTCATGGTAATCTTGGCTATATTTCTCCTCAACCCTTTATTTCACTAAATAATTTATTTGGTATGGAAATCCTTTACACACTTTATGCACCAATTCATTAAAGTTGCTCGGTCTGAGAATATACGGGTGTTGCTTAATTAATTTTCATGTGTATATGAAATGTATATTCATACCTTTGAATATATTATGTTGCTTTTATAGAGATTGCAAGACGTGATAAACAATGACCAATTACCCACCTTTTATATTGTCTGTATTTAAGCCCTGGTAAGCTCACAGCCAAATAAAGGCTGATGTTATATAATTGTAGCTTGGCTATTTGTCTCTTAAAGCTAGATGAAGACACAGTTGTGAGTTCCAAGGTCGGGATTGGGTGTGAACTGACGTGCCATATCGGCGATATATGAAACTTTAATTGTATATGCCACGTCGGCAATATGTGAACTTTGTTCAACAAATGGAGTATAATAGATTATGTGAAACATTCAATGGATCTTGTAGGGATATGAATGAATATTTCAGCATGAAGTAAGACTTTTTTTATTGTGATTATTGATGCTTGCTCTTGCTGTTTGTGCATTATGCGATGTTTGCCAGAATTAAATTGTTTTTAAATTGTTTGGTGAGTCTCCTTGTTATGTATGATGACTGTATAGTGGGTACACTCCTAACAAATGTATGTCTGTATACATTCGAATTGTTGTTTTGCAGGGGGCGCGCAACCCGATGTTACCTTTCAAGTCTCACTTCGTTCTGACACTTCTTGGGGTAACGGTGTAGTCTTGAAGTTCGATGACGTCAAGCTAAATATAGGGGGAGCTTACAACAACCATTCTGGCATCTTCACAGCACCTGTCACAGGGACGTATCAGTTCTGGGCCAACGTCATGGTTAATGAAAATACAAATATGGCCGTCGAGATCAAGGGTCAAAAACTTCTAGGCAGAGGCTACTGCTATAACCTGCACCGCGTGGCCTCTATCACTACAGCTGCGCTTCTCAACAAAGGCGACCACGTCTGGATAACAAAAGTCGCAGGGAGAGCTGTAACTTCTGTTAGAGGGAACAGCTATTCAAGCTATGGAGGCACACTCCTGAAGCAACATTAGCTGTTTAGTGAAAACTTTCATTGATCGTTGCCCATGTAATAAAACCACTGTTTAACAGGCCATATACATGTATGTTTTTCAAGTCGTGTGACATCTTCCCGAGGCAAGGGATTTAACTGACTACAGAAGTCAAGTTTACACCCTTGCCATACTTGACTGTAATTTCGTGGCTTGATCGTAGCTCCTCCAGTGGTTATTACGAGTTATGTCCCTTCTATGTCCCTCCCAATGCCCAATCAGATTCCACCTAACATATTACTTGAAACAAACAAAAGGGCAGCCCGCAGCCAAAATAATCTGCTTGATTTTTAAGATCTATAATGAAAGAAAACGGGTCTTTATCCCGCGAAGTGCATCTCATTACTTGAGCACCTTCATTATAAACATGAACAGATTTTGAAAATATCTATTGATGCCCAGGTGACGGTTCCATCTATCATACACATGTTTTGCAAATCCTGCAATCGACCGAAATCTGCAGGGCAGTTTTGTATGGAGATAAGATATTTTTTCAGCTACACCTGCAAAGCCAGATTGTTTTGTAATTAATCTATGGGCCTGATTCGTGTTTAGAACTCCCATCTTACCCTTATCGTCCTCAAAGATCGTTGGCGGCCATTACATCTACTGTCATAGTTAGCTACAGAATGTAATGTGTTCCCAATTCGTTCATTATTATTTATTTCTAGAAACTAAACAATTTTGGAAAGGTATTTCTTAGGATCCCTTACTTTTTTAAGGGAGTGAGTGAATGTGTTTTACGCCGCTTTTAACAGTATTCCAGTAATATCACGGCGTGTCACAACAACGGTGAAATCCACGAGCACAGGTATGGTGCTGACAATCCTAGAAACAACCGGGGCGAACCTAGATTCGAACCATAATCATAGGTTTCTGGCGTTCCCAAGGGACGGCAACTCTGCACAGCGATTGCGGCGACTTCGAAGAGAAGTGATTCAGGTCTCAAACGTTTACCACTTTGGTGAAACCAACCAGTTCGGGTATGGTGATGACAATCTTAGAAACAGTATCAGGGCGAAGCTGGGATTTAAATCCACGATCTTAGGGTTCTGGCACCTATAAGGCAACACTCACATCGACAAGGCCTCGTATCGCATAAGAACCTTTGAAATCATATTTATGACTAGGCAGCCTCTTTGCCTAGTATAAAAAGCTTAAAAAGTACCTACAACTTTAAAACTACACTGTAATTTTGTTAAACTTGCGGCATGTGCTCAGGTCCTGTCGGAAAAAGAAAAGTAATGATTTGTTGATAAAGAAATACGTTTGTTTGTTGTTTAATGCAGCAATATTCCAGCTGTATGCCAGAGGTCTGTAAATCATCGAGTCTGGACCAGACAATCCAGTGATTGACATCATGAGCATCGATCTACGCAATTGGAATACCATGACATGTGTTAACCAAGTCAGCGAGCCTGACCACTCTGTCCCGTTGGTCGTCTTACGAAAAGCAGAGTCGCCTTTTACAAGCATGGGTTGCTGAAGACCTATCCGAACCCGGATCTTCACGGGTGCATGAAATACGTGCAATAAACATATATAGTATTGACGATGATTAGCAAACTAACTACAAGGCGAACGTTAATTGAGCTCAGTATGTAGTATAGGTTGTGCAAAGCAGAATATCTGCAATAATTGTTAGTAACGATAGTAACCTGAATCATGCGGATTTGATCGTTTTAGTCGAGAACATGTAGGACTACTTTCGATGTTTACATTGCAGATTGTTATGTGTAAGGGGTAACTACTTTGGATCGGGTGGTCAGGATTTATGACTAAGTTGATGCATATCAGAGTGTCCCAATTGCGTAGATGAATGCTCATGATGTCACTGGTCCAGACAAAAACAAACAAACAAACAAACATGTTGCCTGGATGGCGAAAGTTGGTCATGGTTTTTGTCAATAATTGTATTGTCCAAACTGATTTGTCTGTTCCATACTTGATTTCAAGAGACACAGGTTAAAAGGCTTGGTGTCCGGCGTAAAACAACATGCCATTGCCTTTTATTTTTAATGATGCATAAACGTGTTGATTCCTTTCCTTTTAATTACACCACAATTTAAACGCAATCATAAATATTCAAAGGGACATGTCAGGGTCAGACGGACAGCATAATCACAAATCTCATTAAAACCAGATCTTAGTTCTCGTTACTGCTAGACAAAGATCTGAGGACACCCATTACGGGTCACATCAGACCGACCTTGTGCGAACTTTGACGGACCAATGGAGTGACTGACAAGAAGTCGATATTAGCCAGAAGGCAGCTTTCTCGTGCTTTTCGGCACTAATTTCAAATTGGCGACTACGCTTCGAAACATATTTTGACAAATTGAAACCTGAACAAAAGAACATTCTGGAATGGCTAATAGATGGTCTAGATTGTGTAGATTCAGTCGTTAAGCCCGTAATTATCGTTCGGAAAACCCCATGTTAAATTTTTCGAGGTTGCATTATTAGAAATCATATTCCGACTGTCACTTTCATGATCCGTTAAGCGACGCTCTGATTGGTCGAATGAAAGGTCGTTCTGACATGACCCCAAATGGGATGTCCTCAGATCTTTGTTTTGCGGTTGTGAGAACTAAGATCTAATTTTATTGAGAATGGCATAACCACTCTCATGTGGATGCGACAGGAAAGCAAGATGGTTTTGATGAACCCAAGAATGCTTGGTAGGAGTTTCCCGTAGGGTTACACACACACACAGTGATCAAACTACCAGGCGGACTGGTGTGCCACTGCGCAGCCTTCGGGAGAAGCATGCTTGTCCCTGTCTATGGTGGAAAAGGGAACGTTGACGGAGATACAGGGTTTCCCGTCATACAAAGTGCATGTGTGCCTGCTATGACCTCACAGGAGGTCATCCTGACTGTAGAAGGTCCTTCACAATATTGGTTTTCTCACTAATTGGCTAATTGCTATATAATGGTAACCCATTTGATGCTCGATAGCCTTGAAGTATAACCCCGTGGAATGCACCTCTATCGTTCCATGTTCACAGGGAAAGATTAAACATTGCAAGACAAGCGATGTTAATACCCAAATTTGTTGCTTGAACAAATGCATTTTAGAGAATGCATGTTTGTTTGTTTGTTGTTTAACGCCGCACTCAGCAATATTCAAGCTATATTACGGCGGTCTGTTAATAATCGAGACCAGACAATCCAGTGATTGACATCATGAGCATCCACGCAATTGGGATACGATGACATGCATCAACCGAGTCGACATCGTGCAAGATTGAAACTTGAGTGAATGAAGTCGGCTGAACATGCTGAAGCTGGATGAGGTTCTGCTTGACCTCTGCGGTGTTTTGGATGTGCTGTTGCAAACAGATCTTGAACTTGTACACTTGGTCCACATTTGCGAAGGAGGTTGTCCTGGTGGCGGACTAAGGAGATCGAACAGATCAGAAGACTTTCATTTTGCAGACAGCTTGTCTGAATGAAACGTTCATCGTCGTATGAGTGAGTAAGTAAGCGGCGTATGGTTTTACGCCACCTTGAGCAACATTGCAGCAATAGCACGGCAGGGACACCAGAAATGGGCTTCACATATTGTACCCTCGTGGGTATTCGAACCCGGCCTATGAAATAGCATAAAAATTAAACTCTGGAGCCGTTATTGTCAATTTGGGGCGTTTTTGCATAAGGTCGTGTTGCTCATATTAATTTGATTTATTTGTGTTCTTCATGCTTAAATCAGAAGCTTTAGTTAAGCTATTTTATGTTCAAAGAATATTGTATACCGTAATCGACGTAATAGGCGTTCTAAAAATTAGAAATAGGGGGCTCTTATTAGAATATTATTTTGGTAAAAAACCACAGAGTTGAAAGATACATTTCGTGGTTTATGCTGACAGCCTGAAATGTTTATGTACGACAGATATATTTTTCTAAAATTGAATAGCCCATAATTAAGGGTGCATATAACACACGAGTGCGTATTGTACGCGAATTAATAAGTCTCGTGAACATTGATCAATCGGAAGGGGTGCTAATTGGGATTGTTCACTAGCCAATATATTAGCAAATATCGCCGTGGGCGCTTATTAGAGCGGGGCGCTTATTACGTCGAATACGGTACTCCTATATAAGCATGTGTTGTTATCTCAACATTAAACACATGCAGTATGTAGGCGAATCGCGGATCTTTATAGGCCTGAATACATCCATGAGCTAATATCAAGTATAGATCATATAAGAAATATGGTGTTAATGGCTTTAGGTTTCTTTTGTGTAGATATGCTGTTGACATTGTTTACAGCGAATATTCATTTGCGACAATACTGTGTCATCTTGCTATTCATAATTTCCCGCCATATACACCAAGGGCGGGTAACTCTAAACTATGTTCAACGTGACGAGGTAAACACCAACATTGGCCATCAGTAAGATGAGTAGGGCGTTATTTTTAGAAAGTGTCAATTGGAAATAAAACCGTCAATCTGGCATTACTGTCATCCGACCAACGAACATCTCTCCCGCCAATCAGACAGTGACTTTCTACACAACAGCAGCGTTTTGTGGTAAGGAAATGAAGTAAAAGAACGACAATATAGTAAACTGATGTTTATTTATTTTAAGAAATAAACGGCGAGTGGGAGTTGTTTATCGTACAATAAAACAATGCAGTGGGAATAAACCATGAGGGGCGCAGCCTTGGGTACATTTATGAAGTACCTGTGCCATAAACGACTCCAACAACACTTTTGATACCAGAAGGTTTTATCCCCGAAAATAACCCGTGACCAAAAAATGTCACAATGTAATTCCCTTTTGTCACATGACACCAGTGTTTTATAAACCTACTGGCTGTTTGTGTTACTCGATATCGAGTTTTTGAAATTGTGGTAACACCTCGTAGGAGGTATTACAACAATTGTAACACTTGGCAGGAGGGCTTACAATCATTGTAAACCCTTGATAGAAAAAAACCAAAAACTACGAACAGCCTACAAGACCCACGTGCAAATTTCGCAACGTTGCAAAACCCATGTGCTGAGGTCACCGGTTTCATTGAACCGAGTTCACGACTGAAGGCGATATTTCATCTCCGATACAGGTTATACATTTGAGAGTTTTTATTACAGTTATTTAATTAAAAACGTTTTCTATGCAATGAGTCGGTTTACATGTTGGACAAACCATGTCTCTTCGAGATTACTAGAGATTGTAAACCCCACATTTGGGAACGTCATTCATGTGAGGGTTTACAATCTCTAGTAATCCCTCGGAGACATGGTTTCTCCTACACATAGCTACCAGGACAGCATCTTGTCACGGCCAGAAAGGGGCGATGGGGCAACCTGGCTTCTGCTTGTTTTGCCAAAGGCGCTGGTTCAATTCACCAAATGGGTACAATGTGTAAAGCCCATTTCTGGTGTCCCCTTTAGTCAAATATATCCAATACAGCCTACATAATAGTGGGCAAGTCTAGATTACTGTGGTATTGCTGATTAATTGTGAAAAGCAGTGTAAAGCCATATTCACTCACTCTCTCATGGCATATATGCATGAGAATATACTGTCCTGTGTTAAATATAATGCACTTACCATTTTACGGTGCAGTTTTTAAAATAATATCTATGTTTTGAACAGCTATATCATGGCATGCCAGTTTATTAGTAGGAAAGTCAAAAGCGAGGCAGGCCATAGACTGGTGAAACCCACTTAGCATGAAAGTCAAGGGTTTGTCATATCCTTAATGTTATTGGTTGAAAATTCAGCGATTCCTATATTCAGATAGAGCAATCTTCAAGGACCCAGGTCCCCCCTTAATTTCGAACGCTGCTCACCCATAAGGAAGTTCAGGCTTGCTCTTTTACCAGCCCATTGAAAGCTTACCTGTAGTATGTATATGACACCAGTGAAGATCCAGGGTAGAATAGGTCTTCAGCAACCCGTGCTTGCTGTAAAAGGCGACTCTGCTTTACGTAAGAGGCGACTAATGGGATCGGAGGGTCAGGCTGGTTGGCAAGGCGTAGCCTTGTGGTTAAAGCGTTCGCTCGTCACGCCGAAGACTCAGGTTCGATTCTCGATATGGGTACAATTTGTGAAGCCTATTTCTGGTGTCCCCCGCTGTGATATTGCTGGAATATTGCTAAAAGCGGCGTAAAACCATACTGACTGACTGACTCAGTCACTCAATTACGTAGATCGATGCTCATGATGTCAATCACTGGATCGTCTGGTCCAGACTCGATTATTTACAGACTGCCGTCATATAGCTGGAATATTGCTGAGTGCAGCATTAAACAACAAGCAAACGAACAAACAAAATGTACATGAAGTTTTATATCTAAATGTGGAAGTTTCATAATGCTCATGCCCATAATGCTCTCATTATTCAGACAGTTCAACTCCTGAGATAATAAATTGTGAATCAAATGATAAAGAAATGAAGAGTTATACATCCCTGCTTATAAAATCCATATTGTAGTTATTATCTATAAAGAACAATGTTTTCTCAATGAGTGAGTTTAAATTTAATGTCACATCTGCACTATTTCAGCCATATAGCGATTTCTCACTGATATATTGGGGTATTTTTTCTGTTACTTTGATCATGATTTTTAGAATTGTTTTATGGATCTTTACAGGTGAGTCATCATGACTACACAGAGAGTTATCCCCCTAACTGTGACATCAAGATATGCCAGGTCCTGGGGAACATGGGAAGGAATACGGGAACTTGTCCAAAATTGGCATGATGGTCTTCATTCCATGGCAGCCATGTTGGATGATCTCCCTTTAGATACCAGTGTCAAGGTTGAATTCAGGTGTGAGAAGAATGTTACCGAACAGAAGTATGAAGCATTTATCAAGAACCCAGTTTCCAAGAAAGAAAAAATTCTAGGACATCTTATATACAATGTATTAGAAAATAGGCTGATGCTTACTAATGAATGCACAGCTCTGCAGAAGAAGATCTTGTTGCTAGGGTACAGTGCTAAGGCTGATACAAAAGAGGTGATTGGCCAATTTGGTGAAGGACTAAAAATAGGCGCTTTGGCACTGGTAAGACAAGGTCATTTGGTTACCATGGAAACTGGAAGTGATATTTGGGAGTTTCAACTGTTGCATAATGAAGAATTTGGTGAAAAGGTTTTGTCAGTTGTTATTTCAGGTAAGTTTTGATTTCAGCATTTTACTATCATGTTATCTGTTATGGAACAATTTCATATATGTGGTGTAAGATTACACACCCAGGGATTCATCCCCGATTTCCAACTAAGCGCTTTTGTCCAGTAATTTGGAACAAACTTTTATCCATAAAGTACATTTTCTTAGTTATATGTCTGTACATAGTCAAGCTGGATAGGCCTGTACAGAATGGATGTGGATTGTCACAAGTTTGGCTGGTCAAGACTTGATTATTTACAGGAGTCCATGTTATACCTGGAATGTGGTTCACTGGATCGATCATTCAATATCGTTCATTCCAATTTCTAGCAACATTTTCTTTTATTTATAGAAAGACTTGAGGATCTAGATAGCTTCAATCAAGGTGAAAGGTACTTAAATTATCAATCAATCACTTGATTCCAAAAATTACCATCCACAAAATGTGTCTGTTTTCTGTGCAGTTCAGATCTGAATATATCGACATATTACTACATCACTATATCCGCCCAAAACTTTTGAGTTCACAAGCCTGAACTTGTTACTTGGAATATTTCCTGTAGATTTTTGTGTTCATCTGATGTCTCATATCAGCTGAGCTAACAACACCAAAACAAACTTGACTAGACCCAGGCTTGGACAAGTGTCTGAAGTCACAAACTGCACCTGTTCCTTCTCCTGGTGAGACCGCCTCCGTGGTCTTGTGGTAGAGCGTCCACCCGGCCAGCGGAAGGTTCAGAGTTTGATCATTTGTTGATTGCGGGCAGCGTCATACCAAAAGACGTTAAAAGAGGGTACTTGTTACCCTGTCTGGCTCGGCATTTAGGGGATAAAACAAGGACTGGTCGCCTTAGAGTCAGTATACTGTGTCTGAGTGGGGTATTCATGTTAAACTGCGGCATGGTATCTCAGTGTGCTAGCACTATAAATCGGCATCAGTCCTGACTAGTACAAGCAGCCACACACATGTGCATGCACATCGCTATATAAGTGCAATAATCTTGGATGCGACGTTAAACCCCGTTTAACCTCACCTCACCTCCTTCTCCTGGTGGTTATACCTTGCTGTGCTGAGCAGACAGGACTCCGGCAGGATCATAGTCATGGCTGGATATCCTAGACTCGCCGTGATTATATTCCTCCGTGATCATATTCCTCCGTTTATGAGCACCATACCAGCGCCCAGAGATTTCCCTTGCTCCTGGCATTAACTTGGGGCTACCACTGTATAAATATATGGTATGTATACTGATAGAAATGAATACGGGAACACTTAGTTTTAGACACAGTAAAATGATATGCTATGATGGGTTCCCAGCCTTGGCAGTTGACCCCAAGATATGCTGAAAGAACTGTGGCAATGTCAGGAATGAAACCAGACATAAAGTATGATCACCTCAGTCATGTAAGTGGATCATTGTTTTCCAACAGTGACACAGAACTGGGCAAGAGTGAGAAGTCCTATACATGCACGAAGATCAGTGGAGTTGAAAACCAACACTGGAAGAAATTTGTAAGCATTGACGAGGATATGTATGTGATATACAGCATTTAAATAAATCGGCATCAGTCCGGACAAGTACAAGCGCACGTACCCCTTCTACAGGGCAAGGGCATTTTTTAATTTCCAGAAATGGCGTAATGATGTTTTATTGTGAAATAATCCATGCTTTGTTCTTCATTGTTTGCGATTTATCACATATATACCTCATATATCTGCCATGCAAAGACGTGACATGTATAAGAATTTGAATACTTTTTTAAAGTTTTATGAGTGAATAGCTTTAGTCCATGTATGCAATTCACTTTTTTCAACCCCAGTTCAATTGTGTCCCTTTCATAGAACTTTAATAATGTTGGTGTATTGATATTTTAATATTAATATTTTCCAGCTGCCAAGATTCCTGTTTTTAAGACCTCCAGCAGACTTTGTTAAGACTGAGCTAGGTATGTATGTTTATGACATCATTTTTGTTCCAGTAATTTTGCTGTTTTTATTGCAGTAATGTTCCTACATTTGCTTTTTAACATGAAGAAGTTTCAAGCAAGTTTCCCTAGGTTTGTGAAAGTACCATGAATCTGCTGACCATCCTCTATTGTCAAGGGTATTATGGCTCCTTTCTGTCATCTTAAATACCCTGGGCCCATTCTGGACCATAGCTTTGTTTGAATCATTTGCAAGAGACAGTGTCAGTCCATTCTGGTTAGATAGCGAGAGAGATCATGTGCAAAGGTAGTCATAACAGAAGTAGACATAGTGACATGGTGACATCATGTCTGAAACAAAGCTAAGGTGGCGATTGAATCAGGATACAATAAACTTGGTAACATGGGATGCCAGCTGACATAGTAAACTGTGGGGGACTACCTGTTAATATTCTGGGTGAGAGGGGTGTGGGGCTGGGTGGGATGAGGGGGGTAGGGGTGTTGGGTGTCATGAGGGGTGGGAGGGGTGTTGGGTGTGGGGCTGGGTGGGAGGAGGGGTAGTAGGGGTGTTGGGTGTGATGAGGGGTGGGAGGGGTGTTGGGTGTGAGGCTGCGTGAGAGGGTGTTGGGTGAAGGGCTGGTTGGGATAAGGTGTTGGGTGTGATGAGGGGTGGGAGAGTGTTGGGTGTGATGAGGGGTGGGAGGGTGTTGGGTGAAGGGCTGGTTGTGATAAGGTGTTGGGTATGGTGTTGGGTGTGGGGATGGGAGGGTGTTGGGTGTAGGAGGGATGCTGGGCATTTGAGGGGGTCTGCGTGTTTGGAGGGGTTGGAAGGGGGCTGGGTGAGGTGTGTTGGGTATGGGAAAGGTGGGAGGAGGTGTTGGATGTATTTTTGTTTGAGACAGGATATATTTTGGTTAATGCATCTTTCACTTTTCTAAGATGAGCAGCCAACATCCTGCATTTACAGTGAATAAGTTCATTATATTTTGTTAACCTGGGGGGAAAAAGATTCCAGCATTTTCAGGAACAGATAATATTTTTTTTAAAAGTCCTGGGCTCTATCAAAACATTTAAAATGACCAGCCCTGACCTGGCCCCTGACTTGACCTTGTTGTTCCCAATCTTTTCAATTCAGTGGTAATTTCATTTTATATTGATACTGTCAATCGTACATGTTAGCAAGATGTTTGTTTCACAGGAACATTGCTGCTGGACCCCCATCATAATGGCCAGCTGTACATGAAGGGCATTTGGGTGTCGGACCTGTCACAGGAGGACCTGGCTGCTGGGGTGGACTTTGTCCATCTACAGTTGGACAGAGACAGGAATGCTGTGCCCAAGCCTAGTGAGATAGACCACCAGGTGTGTAGACCAGTGAGATAGACCACCAGGTGTGTAGACCAGTGAGATAGACCACCAGGTGTGTAGACCAGTGAGATAGACCACCAGGTTTGTAGACCAATGAGATAGACCACCAGGTGTGTAGACCAGTTAGACAAACCACCAGGTGTGTAGACCAGTGAGATAGACCACCAGGTGTGTAGACCAGTGAGATAGACCACCAGGTGTGCAGACCAGTGAGATAGACCACCAGGTGTGTAGACCAGTGAGATAGACCACCAGGTGTGTAGACCAGTTAGACAAACCACCAGGTGTGTAGACCAGTGAGATAGACCACCAAGTATGTAGACCAGTGAGATAGACCACCAGGTGTGTAGACCAGTTAGACAAACCACCAGGTGTGTAGACCAGTGAGATAGACCACCAGGTGTGTAGACCAGTGAGATAGACCACCAGGTGTGTAGACCAGTGAGATAGACCACCAGGTTTGTAGACCAGTGAGATAGACCACCAGGTGTGTAGACCAGTGAGATAGACCACCAGGTGTGTAGACCAGTGAGATAGACCACCAGGTGTGTAGACCAGTGAGATAGACCACCAGGTGTGTAGACCAGTGAGATAGACCACCAGGTTTGTAGACCAGTGAGATAGACCACCAGGTGTGGAGACAAGAGAGATAGACCATCAGGTTTGTAGACCAGTGAGATAGACCACCAGGTGTGTAGACCAGTGAGATAGACCACCAGGTGTGTAGACCAGTTAGATAGACCACCAGGTGTGTAGACCAGTTAGATAGACCATCAGGTGTGTAGACCAGTTAGACAAACCACCAGGTGTGTATACCAGTGAGATAGACCATCAGGTGTGTAGACCAGTTAGATAGACCACCAGGTGTGTAGACCAGTGAGATAGACCACCAGGTGTGTAGACCAGTGAGATAGACCACCAGGTTTGTAGACCAGTGACATAGACCACCATGCTGTTTTTATACATTTGAGTTTTTCATTTCATGCATGCATTTCTGTACACAAGTTAATTGAAAGTAATTGGGTTTTGAATATTTGGGGGGGGATATTTGATGCAAATACGCTGCTTATCTGAAGCCCTGACACATCTGAATATCTTCATAAGTGCCCTGGGGCACACTTGAGGGAAAATACATTTCTTTCCCGGAACTCAGTTGGTGACTTCACCACCAGTCCTACTTTGTTTGGTACAATCACGGACTTGTATATAGGTCCGTGGTACAATACAGTGACAAGGACAGTTACGTCTGAGACACTCAGCTAATGATAGTCTGTATGTTAACAAGTGTAATTCTTCTGAATATGATGCCAAGAGACACTTTCGTACACAGACTGCTGATGTTGGTCATCAGTTGTTCATGTCTCTGTATCTACTTGTCTTGCTTCAGGTGAGTGGAATGTGGATCCGGGCACTGCAGAAGAAACCCAGCCTTGCGGAGAAGTACTATCACCTGTTGTTTAATGAGTGAGACACACTTCACGTTACAACACTGACAGGTTCAACAATCCTTTTACTGGAATGCCAAAAGAGAATTGCAAAACTTGTAAAGGCATGGTTAAATAAGTTCCTGGTACCTGAAGGGCAAACCATGTCTTTAAAAAAAATAAAAATGCCTTGCTGTAATTAAAAATACATTGCCAGTGATAAATGTTCTTTGGCAAAATGCAATTTGGACAAACATAAAAAAATTTACACATGTAGTGCACAGTATGACTAATAAGATAAACCTGGAGATTCAGAAATTGACCATGATGTTAAAATATCAGTGAAAATGAAGCGGGCAAGCTACCTACATTACAACTGCTTGTCATCTGGCTTATGGTGAATTGACATTCACAGTGTGAAGATAGAGCAACAGTCCTTCTTGTTGGCACACTTAAGTCTTTGTGAGTGCCCTGTGGCGTGCCCTGTGCCCTGTGGCTGTGTTCATCTACACTTGCTGTTATACTATGCTATTGTAGCAGAGTGGAATACAGAAAAAGAAATGTATATTTATACGCTATATTTGTACATTTCAGCAAATACAGAGATGTGCGTCATGCTGCTGATTATGCAACTCCAGAAATGGCTCTTGTAATTGCAGATCAGTTTCTAAAGTAGGTGAACAGAAGTCTTGAGATCAGTTACTGAGGCTAGAAAAAATAATAGTCTTGCTTCTCAGGCACCTCCCTCATCACCATAAAGTTCGCCGCACGTTTTGTTTATATTTATATTTTTTTTAAAATACAAAAGAATCCTTAGATATTCCAAGTCCATTGGTAGTCAAATACTGTATTCCAGTATTTTAATCATCAAAAAATACATTTATGTAGGGAGGCCCTTTCCCATGGTGATTGTACACAATTATTGTTTATTGATTACACAACTGTTTATTGGTTACATACTAGTTTGATCAACCCAAAAAAGAAAGAAAAGACACCGCCCGCCCACACTATATTTTCAAAAACCATTGCCTGAGAACCAATTCTTTTATTTTTTTAAGACTAAAATGTTATGTCATTCATTTTATGGAGTGTAGAAATAATGAACATTGATAAACTTCATTTCCCTATGTGCAAAGAACTACATGATTGAAAGTCAGTTTTCTACAAAGAAGACATTCACATTTGGATAAATACAACCATAAAAATATCTGCAATGAATTTATCCTAAGGTTGCTTTCTTAAATGTTCAGATGAAAAAGAAAATGTGCTGTAACCCAAAAAGCAACCAGACCTATTTGGAAAAAAATCATATTCTTGCTGGTACAAATGTGGCAATATATACAACACAAAAAGGTTAAGGACCAGCCAATTCTTTAAAACTGTATTCGACATAATAAGTGCCCCACTATTAAGCGCCCATGGCGATATTTGCTTATATATTGGCTAGTCAGGCTGTCAGTATAAACCACGAAATTTACGATCTTTCAACTCTCAAAATTTTATTCTAATAAGAGCCTCCAATTTCTAATTTTGAGGGCGCCCTGGGTGCTTATTACGTCGAATACAGTATTACTCTAGTTATAATGTCATGGCATGACTGGATGTGCACACTTGTATCTTTTTTGGAGAAAAGGTTTATACAAACACATTGTTGCTGCCTCTGTAGATATGTGTACATATTGATGCAACTATTTCTCTGTGCAGACAGTATGGCGACTCGGCCTTCCCTGTCCTCAACAACACGGAGGCGGCAGACATTCAGGCTGTGAGGGATGAGTTGCACAGGACGGTCAGTGTACAACCAGCAGATACAACACTTGTAGCATTACAATAAATGGGGAGATGTGTTCGCCTTGCGGTCAAGCTGTTTGCTCATCACACCGAAGGCCCGGGTTTTAATTCCCCACATGGATACGATGTGTAAAGTCAATTTCTGGTGTCACCCGTCTTGATTTTGCTGGAATATTGCTAAAAGCAGCATAAAACAATACTCACTCATTACAATGAACTCATTGGCCTTGACATGGCAGATTCATTCACAATTTATTCTGGTTGAAGCTTCCACTGTGAGGATTCCAGGTTTGAATAGATTGCCAGTATCCTATGCTTCATAGAGGAGGTGATCTGGTGGTCAGGTTTTAGGGCTGGGACGAGTCCAAATTCACTACCCGGGTACCCACCCCTCTATCACCCGACCCTACCCGGGTACCCGTAGGTCATGAGACAGGTAAAAAATACACGTAAAATGATCTGGTCTTGCAAACATTGAAGTTTACTGCATGAAGTTTTATCTTTATTCAAACATATTAAAGTCAGGAGTGGGTGCAGAGTCAGAAAGAAATGGAAACATTAGTGACTTGTAGTGTAACCATAGTGTTTTAGATAATTTTTGTCATTAAACAATATATCACGTGTCCTACCCAGTACCCACCCGACCCGAGTACCTGAGTTACTCGTCCCAGCCCTATCAGACTTGCTAGTCAGGTTGATTGCACGTCATTGTACAGGGTGGGACATTGCTCATAGTATCAATCACTGGTTTGTCCAGCCCAGTCTTGATTACTTGCAGGCTGCCGTCCTTTCCCGGGAATATTGACTGGAAACAACCATCTTCCCAAGACAAGGGAGTTAACTCACTGTAAAAGTCCAGTTTCCACCCTTGCTGAACTGGGCTGGAATTTCTGGCCTCAAGTGCGGCGCCACCATTGGCTATTACAAGTTACGTCCCTTCTATGTCCCACCTATTGACCAATCAGATTCCACCACTCATATCACTTGCATTTGCTTCAAACAAAATGGTGGTGCCGAGTCAGGATGATCTGATCGATAATGAAAATCTATATTGTGATAAAACGGCTCTTACTTTGTGAAGTGCATCAAATCACGTGAGGAACTTGATAAAAAACATGAAAAGATTTGGAAAATATCTGCTGACGACGAGTTGGCGGTACACATGCTTTGCAAATCCTGCACCCGGATGTCGATTTCGTAACACGATTTTGATTATATACTATGCATAGACTCGTTAGCCCAGACAAAATATAACTCCACAATTCCAGCCTAGTTCTGCACGGTTGGAAAATGGACTTTTATTGTCCGTTAACTCCCTTGCCTCGGGGAGATGACAAATAACAAACAAACAAATGTTGAAACTTAATGATAAAATGTGAAAACAGCGAACAGCTATGTGAATGTCATTACAAGTGAATTGAATTATATCGGAAAAAGCACCACAGTACACAATAAGGATGAAGTTTCTTCCAAAGTCCCTTTATTTGTTGTTGTAGATATATAAATGTGTCATCAGGACGATTTCACTGGCATCTGTACCATCTGGATCAATGGAATTTCACAGTATTGTTATGACTGTACTAATTGATCATTTACGGTACCAAATATAGGAAAGGTTGATTTCACCAGTCCTTTCATAAGTATGTTGAATACTTTTGTATAGTGTATCTATGTCAATGTTTCAGGCGGTGCTTTGTAATGACACCATGATCAAGCTCTTGATAAAATCTGGTCGTTATGGCAACCTCAACGCAGCATTAACCCAGCAGCGTATGAAGGAATCAGTGACTGTCCCGTATTCATCGCTTTCGTCGGAGCAGAGGCGCGTCCTACAGGAGGCCGTGTCCCTTACCAACATGGCCGACCCATCCTTCAGTCTTGCTGTCATAGATGTTATCGATACCCCACGCAGAGAGGTTAGCGACTCCAAATATGTAATTAATCCAGTCACATACCTGAAAGTATTAATATTACTTATGTGTGTGCAATGTGTTATAAGTTAACAAGAAACAAGAACAATGCCCAGTTCGTATTTTAACAATTTGTTCTTTTTTGTTTTAAATGCTGGCATCTTTTTCGAGAGGACAGCCAGACCATGATTAAACTGACAAAGTTTTTAAATACATCTTTTGCCAATTTATATTTTATGTACTGTCTTACATGTTTTCATGGTCAAGTTCATGTTTAAAGGGTTGCAAAAATGAAAGCTATAATTCTGATTTGGCTGTGGAAAGGCTATGACAATTTCAAAGCAAACTTATCTCCCCTGACTCATCACGAGATTTTGAGTGTGCAAGGTAGCAAACTGAAATTGTAAGAAAATTATCTTAACGAACAATGTTTGTAATATAAACAATAAAGTAAAACATTAACAAAAGTATAAATATAGATTTAATGTTATTCAACTTTTTTTTTACATTGAAGGGATGATTATTGGGTTATAGTTTCCTGAAAGGGGGATTACAGTAATAAATAAGATGCCGATCAGTTAGAACTTGTCCTTGTTCATTACACCAACATCTGATTGGCACCCAAAGAAGCCACTATGTATACACCAGTGACATGATATGGCAAGTTTATCAGGTTAGCTCCCAGATGGGGAATTACTTGCAAAATAGTAAAAAACTTAATTATGGGAAAAGGACTGTTGTGTCAAGTGACATGTGTGGCACCACCAGTTGATGTGCAAGGTAGGATGGCTTGATGAGTCAGTGACCATCTCAAATTGTTTCATCATTCAAATGACAACCGGTATAACCCTGTGGCGATTCTGGATTAGAATTTGTCCCAGCAACCTATGCTGGTCGTAAGAGGCGACTTAATGGAACAGGTGGTCAGGCTTTGTGACGTATCTGAGAGAGACACAAACAGACAGAGAGACAGACAGAAACACAGAGACAGACACACAGAGAGAGACAGAGAGAGAGAGAGAGACACACACACAGGGAGACACAGATGCACACACAGACACACACAAATACACATGCTTACACACACACAGACACACAAACACAGAGACAGAGGGAAACACAGACTCATGTACACACAGACAGACACACAGAGACACACACACACATGCACACATACACACACAGACACACAGAAACAGACAGACCCACACACGCACACATACACACACACAGAGAAACAGACAGACCCACACATGCACACATACACACACACAGAGAAACAGACAGACCCACACACGCATACATACACACAGACAGAGAAACAGACAGACCCACACACGCACACATACACACTCACAGAGAAACAGACAGACCCACACATACACACACACAGAGAAACAGACAGACAGACCCACACATAAACACACATACACACACACAGAGGCAGCCACACACACACAGGGACAGACAGACAGACCCACACATGCACACATACACACACACACACACATAGAAACAGACAGAGAGACCCACACATACACACACACAGAAACAGACAGACAGACCCACACCTACACACACACACAGAAACAGACAGACCCACACACGCACACATACACACACAAAGAGAGGCAGACAGACAGACCCACACATACACACACACAGAGGCAGACCTACACACACACACACACACACACACACACACACACACACACACACACACACACACACACACACACACATACACACACACACACACACACACACACACACACACACACGCATGCACGCATGCACACACACACACGCATGCACACACACACACGCATGCACACACACACACGCATGCACACACAGACAGACCCCCCCCAAACACACACACACACACACAGAGACTCACTACAAGCGTAGTAATGTAATGTAAGGAGAGAAAAGGGTCCAACTATTTGATATTATGGGGGTGCCTGTGTTACACATCACCACAGCAGTCCATGCTTCAAGAAATGCAAAATTTATGCGAAAGGATGGAACGATTTCTATTTTCTTTATACATTTATTTTTAGGACATCCAGCATCACCATTATTGTTTTTATTGTCAAACCTGCAGCAGATGTATAGTTTTCCACTAATCAGGACAACCCCATCATTGTTGCCATGTTGACACCTTCCCTCCACAGTCTACTATGTAGACAACACACCTTCATCACAGACGATCCAAAGAGTGGATAATAAAGCAATTATTATATTCATAAGTATATCAGACTAGTTGGACAAAACAAAATTCATGTATTTCCGCTGTATGATGCTTCTCCCTCCAGACCTGCAGTGAGAGAGACAGCAGAGTGTGTATTCCCACATGGATGATGGACTTGGAAGCGGTCCACACGGAGATGAACTTTAACCCTTCCCAGCTGAAGAAACATGTCAAGGTAGGTCAGCAGTTTTGGCTTTGAAAGATCTCTTGTAAAACAAAGATGTGGAAAGAGGAAAAGATAATGAATTCAAGTTCCATATCCTGACAAAAGACGTTGAAAGACTGTACTTGTTGTAACCCTTCCTGGTGTTCGGCATTAAGGGGATAAAACAAGAACAGGTTGGCGCTGTCAGTACAACCCACATGTTGATTGGTTGGTTGGGACATTGTTGGAGGTCAGTGTTTTTATCCATGCTTCCTTCACAGATTCATGACAACTGTCAGTCAATATTTCCGAGCGTCCTGGACTGTACAACGTACAACAACAAAGTCACTTGAAACTAAGAAATGCTTTAAAACTAGGTCACATGAAGTTGAATATTTTGTTTGTATGAATACCAATATCATTTTGTCTGTTAAAAATGTTTTTTTGGATTGGTGAGTTTTTGATAAGGCTCAAATGATTGTCTTATACTGTAAGGAGGTGGTCAGGTGGCCTAGTGGTTAAAGCGTTCGCTCGTCATGCCGAAGACCCGGGTTCGATTCCCATATGTGTACAATGTGTGAAGCCCATTTCTGGTGTCCCCTGCCTTGGTATTGCTGGAATATTGCTAACAGTGGCGTAAAACCTCACTCACTCACTCATACTGTAAGGAATGGCTCATTGAGCTGTAAAGGGAGATGACTCTGGCCAATTGGCAGTCACAACAAGTTGGATTTAAGTTATTCAGGACCTATTTTGTGACAGTGCCTCAGTTTCACAAATAACTTACAAGAAGACGAAGATACACCCTGCCCGATTAAATATATGTTAATGAAATGACAATGTGAGAGTAAATGTTCAATGGCTCAAAAAAAATTTTGAGCTCTGGTAGAGGTCTCCTCAGTGTTCATTGTTATGCCTGGGTCTTACAGTGCAAGTGTCGTGAGTCTGTCATGTGTCATGCTGTGTTGGAAACAAGAAAGCACCTGATGACGCTCAACCTCCTCCCCACGACAGAGGCTGGAGGCCACGCCCTGTCTCACTACCCCCTGGTGTTTGTGGTGGCAGCCCTTGCTGCACAGGTGAGATTCAACAGGGGTATATTATCTTCAAGGCCAACTGGCCTGAAATGATCCTCAGTGCACAGCAGTATAAGACTAAAAGACAGCATTCATTATGCACCTTACTCTGAATTCAGATTGGGGGGGAACGGGTGGCCCGGTCGTCTAAGGTTCTTAGTATTCCAGTTATATCGCGGTGTGTCAGCTTAATGTGGGAGGAGAGCCCGAAGTGATGCAGGTCTCAGACGTTTACCACTTCGGTGAAACCCACGACCACAGGTATGGTGCTGACAAACCTAGAAACATAATTTGGGCGAACCAGGATTCGAACCCACAATCATAAGTTCCTATCGTGTCCAAGAGACGCAACTCTGCACAGCGAAATGCGGTGCCTTAGATGACTGGGCCACTCATGCCCCCCATAATTTATAGGAATTGGTCCTTGGGAGATTTTTGAAGGTGTCGACAGATATTGGTCGTCCTGTGCCATATTTATTCCTCAAGTAATGATATAATAGATTCTGAGGTCAATCATGTCAAATTGATTGTGTTTTGTCCATTCTTGTCGACAGCTGTTGTTGTTTAGTACTTAATTTACATGCGGGAAATCCTCCGACACAAATAATAAAATGAGGACTTAAAGAATAGAACTTTTTCTCCCTCTAAATTTGTTAACAGATTTAAGACATCGCCGTAGTAGCCCAGTATATTTGTGATGTAATGTTTAGACTTGCCATTCAAAGTATGTTGTGTCCATCTTTTGCTTGACTGTATTTTCAGTTCAACAGAACTTATGTTGTGGTGTGTGCATTGTCCATCTGTCCAACTGTTCATCCATTTTAAACATGTACATTTTTTCGCATCTTACTTGAGTAACCCATGCTTGCTATAAAAGGCGACTTTGCTTGTTCAAAGAGGCAAGTAACAGGATCGGGTGGTCAGGCTCGCTGACTTGGTTGATGCATGTCATTGTATCCCACTTGTGTGGATCGAGGCTCATGATGTCAATCACTGGATTGTCTGGTCCAGACATGATGATTTACAGACCGCTGTCATATAGCTTGAATATTGGAGTGTGGTGTTAAACAACGAACAAAACAGACACAAAAAAAACATTTTATCTGAAACCTCAAAGAAGTATGTGGTATGAGGAATAACATTTTATACTTCTTTTGGCATGATTGTATTTTGACCTTGCTACAATGGCTTTACATATCACACACCCCACACCTAGGTTGACTGCATTTTGAATTCCCATTCTATGATGCAGAAACTGTATGAAATGATATCCAGCAATGGTGTGTATAATGTTTGCGCACAGAATTCTGATTTGATTTTGAAAAAAACCATGGTAGCCACATTAAACATGGCACTATTACACATTAATGACCCATATCTGAATGGCTGTTTTTATTGAAATGAACTTCAGCATATTGTTAGTGAAGGGCTGATTAGATTGGTTTGGTTGGTTTGTTGTTTTACGCCGCACTCAGCAATATTTCAGCTATATGACGGCGGTCTGTAAATAATCGAATCTTGACCAGACAATCCAGTGATTGATATCATGAGCGTCGATCCTTGCGATTGGAATCGATGACATGCATCAACCAAATCAGGGAGTCTGACCATGTGATCCATTTAGTCGCCTCTTATGACAAGCATAGTTGCTTTTTATGGCAAGCATGGGTTGCTGAAGACCCGTTCTACCCCAGCTGATTAGAACAAATGTTGAGGGTTGATTACGGAAGTGGTATATCAATAACATGATCTGATTAGCGGGAGAGGTGTTAATGTCTTTAGGGATCACATTTATATTTTCAACAATGGGGGGACATCGAATCCCAATGTTGTACTCAGATTTGTGAAAAGTGTTCCAGGATTGGAGCAGATGTCAAAAACAGATATAGGAATGACAATTTCTCAAGTGAAGTGTGATGTGTTGTAGGTGTGTGGGAAGGCCAGTGATGCCTACTGTGCCAGCATCCATCAGCAGGACTCGGGGTCCACTGGAGCAGACGACACTGTCAGTGCTGACCTCCAACAGCGGGAGCAAGGCTACTTGGACACAATCAAAGCTCTCCAGGTGGGATACTCATTCATGTGTTGGGTTAGCATTGGGCCGTTTTCTAAAGCCGTGTTCCAGCATACCAGTGTGTATATATCTGTTTTACCTCTACCGTGCACTACCGCTTTTTCAATATGTAATACCCAACATCATTACTTTGATGATTATTTAGTGCAAAGCTCTAAAGAAATTAATCTGCAACCATTATTGTCCCACGAATAAAACTCTCAGACTTGTTATTATTGTTTCTCTTCATTTGTCTATCGACAACGGAAATACATCTCTGGTTTATTAATTAGCATTTGCAATTGCAGTTTTCCTGTGTGTGCATGGAACTGTTTGGCGGCCCACCATTTGATAGTGACCAGCGAGTGATCATTTGGCAGAAAACACCCTGAAACAAACTGTCTGACTTCCTAATGTATGGTTATGGTTTGTTTTTTTGTTTGTTGTTTAACGCCGCACTCAGCAATATTCCAGCTATATGATGGCAGTCTGTAAATAATCGTGTCTGGACCAGACAATCCAGTGATTAATATCATGAGCATCGATCCACGCAATTGGGATGGATGACATGCATCAACCAAGTCAGAGAGCCTGACCTGCCAATCCCGTTAGTCGCCTTTTACAGCAAGCATGGGTTGCTGAAGACCTATTCTACCCCGGAATCTTCACGGGTCGTAAAGTTAATGCAATTTAGGTAGTTTATTCTCTGACAACTAAGGTTTATGACATGGCACCAATACCATCAGTCTCGTCAGTCTTGCTGCATATAACAGTGAGCTGGTGTCATCTGCAGATCGGTTCCCACACTATTTTGCTGAAAATAAAGTTAACTGCAGTAATGAAATAGATCATAATTAATCAAACATATATACACTGTTCCCAATTTTATTACAGGACTTTAATTACAGGCCTAAATGGCTTAACAGGAGACAGATTTGTTGACATGATATTTTTGGTATTGACATGCCTGCAGTAATGTTTTCGCTGTAGATTTCACCCTGTTCTACACAGCTGTATTTTCTGTAAAAAATATATATTTTACACACAAAAATACGAACTGTCATGTATACATGCAGGGTGAGTACTGGCGCTTATAAGAATTATCTAAGATTGATCTTATAGTTCGTGAGGGGGCGATTATGAGAGCAGGGCGCTTATCCAGGTGAATATGGTAATGCTATTCATCAATGCCTGACTGTTGTAGTCTTGTTCCCAGCTACAGATTTGACTGTTGACTTTTGCAGGCCCATCTTGAGCTGATGGAGTCTGATAGCATCAAGTCACTTTCGACAATGGAGAGAAAATTGAAGTCAGCTGAGACACAGCTGATGCAGAAGGAGGTGGACCTTGTCAACGAGGAGGCACTTGTACAGACCAAGTTTGAAAAACAACTCAAGCAACTCAAGGTATCAGCTGAGGTACGTCTCATCTTGTTGTCATAGGCCAGCCAAGGAGAGACTTGTTACACATAACCCCAAGTAGAGACTTGTTACACATTACACCGAGTAGAGACCTGTTACACATTACACTAAGTAGAGACTTGTTACACATAACACCAAGTAGAGACTTGTTACACATTACACCGAGTAGAGACTTGTTACACATTACACCAAGTAGAGACTTGTTACACATTACACCAAGTAGAGACTTGTTACACATTACACCAAGTAGAGACTTGTTACACATAACAACAAGTAGAGACCTGTTACACATTACACCAAGTAGAGACTTGTTACACATAACAACAAGTAGAGACCTGTTACACATTACACCAAGTAGAGACTTGTTACACATAACAACAAGTAGAGACCTGTTACACATTACACCAAGTAGAGACTTGTTACACATTACACCAAGTAGAGACTTGTTACACATTACAACAAGTAGAGACCTGTTACACATTACACCAAGTAGAGACTTGTTACACATTACAGCAAGTAGAGACTTGTTACACATTACACCAAGTAGAGACTTGTTACACATAACACCAAGTAGAGACTTGTTACACATAACCCCAAGATGAGACTTGTTACACATAACCCCAAGTAGAGACTTGTTACACATTACACCAAGTAGAGACTTGTTACACATTACACCAAGTAGAGACTTGTTACACATAAACCCAAGATGAGACTTGTTACACATTACACCAAGTAGAGACTTGTTACACATTACACCAAAGTGAGACTTGTTACACATTACACCAAGTAGAGACTTGTTACACATAACACCAAGTAGAGACTTGTTACACATTACACCGAGTAGAGACTTGTTACACATAACATCAAGTAGAGACTTGTTACACATAACCCCAAGATGAGACTTGTTACACATTACACCAAGTAGAGACTTGTTACACATTACACCAAGTAGAGACTTGTTACACATTACACCAAGTAGAGACTTGTTACACATTACACCAAGTAGAGACTTGTTACACATTACACCAAGTAGAGACTTGTTACACATTACACCAAGTAGAGACTTGTTACACATTACACCAAGTAGAGACCTGTTACACATTACACCAAGTAGAGACTTGTTACACATTACACCAAGTAGAGACTTGTTACACATTACAGCAAGTAGAGACTTGTTACACATTACACCAAGTAGAGACTTGTTACACATAACACCAAGTAGAGACTTGTTACACATAACCCCAAGATGAGACTTGTTACACATAACACCAAGTAGAGACCTGTTACACATTACACCAAGTAGAGACTTGTTACACATTACACCAAGTAGAGACTTGTTACACATTACACCAAGTAGAGACTTGTTACACATTACACCGAGTAGAGACTTGTTACACATAACACCAAGTAGAGACTTGTTACTCATTACACCGAGTAGAGACTTGTTACACATTACACCAAGTAGAGACTTGTTACACATTACACCAAGTAGAGACTTGTTACACATTACACCGAGTAGAGACTTGTTACACATTACACCAAGTAGAGACTTGTTACACATAACAACAAGTAGAGACTTGTTACACATTACACCAAGTAGAGACCTGTTACACATTACACCAAGTAGAGACTTGTTACACATTACACCAAAGTGAGACTTGTTACACATTACACCGAGTAGAGACTTGTTACACATTACACCAAGTAGAGACTTGTTACACATAACAACAAGTAGAGACCTGTTACACATTACACCAAGTAGAGACTTGTTACACATAACACCAAGTAGAGACTTGTTACACATAACACCAAGTAGAGACTTGTTACACATTACACCAAGTAGAGACTTGTTACACATAAACCCAAGATGAGACTTGTTACACATTACACCAAGTAGAGACTTGTTACACATTACACCAAAGTGAGACTTGTTACACATTACACCAAGTAGAGACTTGTTACACATAACACCAAGTAGAGACTTGTTACACATTACACCAAAGTGAGACTTGTTACACATTACACCAAGTAGAGACTTGTTACACATAACAACAAGTAGAGACTTGTTACACATAACATCAAGTAGAGACTTGTTACACATAACCCCAAGATGAGACTTGTTACACATTACACCAAGTAGAGACTTGTTACACATTACACCAAGTAGAGACTTGTTACACATTACACCAAGTAGAGACTTGTTACACATTACACCAAGTAGAGACTTGTTACACATTACACCAAGTAGAGACTTGTTACACATTACACCAAGTAGAGACTTGTTACACATAACACCAAGTAGAGACCTGTTACACATTACACCAAGTAGAGACTTGTTACACATTACACCAAGTAGAGACTTGTTACACATTACAGCAAGTAGAGACTTGTTACACATTACACCAAGTAGAGACTTGTTACACATAACACCAAGTAGAGACTTGTTACACATAACCCCAAGATGAGACTTGTTACACATAACACCAAGTAGAGACCTGTTACACATTACACCAAGTAGAGACTTGTTACACATTACACCAAGTAGAGACTTGTTACACATTACACCAAGTAGAGACTTGTTACACATTACACCGAGTAGAGACTTGTTACACATAACACCAAGTAGAGACTTGTTACTCATTACACCGAGTAGAGACTTGTTACACATTACACCAAGTAGAGACTTGTTACACATTACACCAAGTAGAGACTTGTTACACATTACACCGAGTAGAGACTTGTTACACATTACACCAAGTAGAGACTTGTTACACATAACACCAAGTAGAGACTTGTTACACATAACACCAAGTAGAGACTTGTTACACATTACACCAAGTAGAGACTTGTTACACATTACACCAAGTAGAGACTTGTTACACATTACACCAAGTAGAGACCTGTTACACATTACACCGAGTAGAGACTTGTTACACATTACACCAAGTAGAGACTTGTTACACATTACACCAAGTAGAGACTTGTTACACATAACACCAAGTAGAGACTTGTTACACATTACACCAAAGTGAGACTTGTTACACATTACACCAAGTAGAGACTTGTTACACATAACACCAAGTAGAGACTTGTTACACATTACACCAAAGTGAGACTTGTTACACATTACACCAAGTAGAGACTTGTTACACATAACAACAAGTAGAGACTTGTTACACATAACACCAAAGTGAGACTTGTTACACATTACACCAAGTAGAGACTTTTTACACATAACACCAAGTAGAGACTTGTTACACATTACACCAAGTAGACACTTTTTACACATAACACCAAGTAGAGACTTGTTACACATTACACCAAGTAGAGACTTGTTACACATTACAGCAAGTAGAGACTTGTTACATATTACACCAAGTATTTTCACATATTTGTTTGCAGCTGACAGTGAAAGACTTGAAGACTCGGCTCCAATCTCAAGACAGGGACATGACCAACATGAGCCAGAAACTTCACCACAAGGCGCACCAGTTACAACAAGTCAGGGAGGAGGTGGGTGCAGATATAACCGTGGGGGTTGTGTAGGGGTATCTGGTGAGTAGATGTAGGGGGTCGATGGGAGTTTGTGTTGAGGGACTATTGGTGTAGGTGTAGAGGGACTGTTGGGGGTGGGTGTAGGGAAACTATGGGGAGTGGGTGTAGGGGGACTATGGGGAGTGGGTGTGGGGGGACTATGGGGAGTGGGTGTAGGGAGACTATGGGGAGTGGGTGTAGGAAGACTATGGGGAGTGGGTGTGGGGGGACTATGGGGAGTGGGTGTGGGGGGACTGTTGGGGAGTGGGTGTTGTGGGACTATTGGGAGTGGGTGTAGGGAAACTATGGGGAGTGGGTGTAGGGGGACTGTTGGGTGTGGGTGTAGGGGGACTGTTGGGTGTGGGTGTAGGGGGACTATGGGGAGTGGGTGTGGGGGGACTATGGGGAGTGGGTGTAGGGGGACTATGGGGAGTGGGTGTAGGGGGACTATGGGGAGTGGGTGTGGGGGGACTGTTGGGTGTGGGTGTAGGGGGACTATGGGGAGTGGGTGTGGGGGGACTGTTGGGTGTGGGTGTAGGGGGACTATGGGGAGTGGGTGTAGGGGGACTATGGGGAGTGGGTGTAGGGGGACTATGGGGAGTGGGTGTGGGGGGACTGTTGGGGTGTGGGTGTTGGGGGACTATGGGGAGTGGGTGTAGAGGGACTGTTGGGTGTGGGTGTTGGGGGACTATGGGGAGTGGGTGTTGGGGGACTATGGGGAGTGGGTGTTGGGGGACTATGGGGAGTGGGTGTAGGGGGACTGTTGGGTGTGGGTGTAGGGGGACTATGGGGAGTGGGTGTAGGGGGACTATGGGGAGTGGGTGTAGGGGGACTATGGGGAGTGGGTGTAGGGGGACTATGGGGAGTGGGTGTAGGGGGACTATGGGGAGTGGGTGTAGGGGGACTATGGGGAGTGGGTGTAGGGGGACTATGGGGAGTGGGTGTAGGGGGACTATGGGGAGTGGGTGTAGGGGGACTATGGGGAGTGGGTGTAGAGGGACTGTTGGGGAGTGGGTGTAGGGGGACTATGGGGAGTGGGTGTAGGGAGACTATGGGGAGTGGGTGTAGGGGGACTATGGGGAGTGGGTGTTGGGGGACTATGGGGAGTGGGTGTGGGGGGACTGTTGGGGAGTGGGTGTAGGGGGACTATGGGGAGTGGGTGTAGGGGGACTATGGGGAGTGGGTGTGGGGGGACTGTTGGGGAGTGGGTGTAGGGGGACTATGGGGAGTGGGTGTAGGGGGACTATGGGGAGTGGGTGTAGGGAGACTATGGGGAGTGGGTGTAGGGGGACTATGGGGAGTGGGTGTGGGGGGACTGTTGGGTGTGGGTGTAGGGGGACTATGGGGAGTGGGTGTAGGGGGACTATGGGGAGTGGGTGTAGGGAGACTATGGGGAGTGGGTGTAGGGGGACTATGGGGAGTGGGTGTGGGGGGACTGTTGGGTGTGGGTGTAGGGGGACTATGGGGAGTGGGTGTGGGGGGACTGTTGGGGGTGGGTGTAGGGGGACTATGGGGAGTGGGTGTAGGGGGACTATGGGGAGTGGGTGTTGGGGGACTATGGGGAGTGGGTGTGGGGGGACTGTTGGGGAGTGGGTGTAGGGAGACTATGGGGAGTGGGTGTAGGGAGACTATGGGGAGTGGGTGTAGGGAGACTATGGGGAGTGGGTGTAGGGAGACTATGGGGAGTGGGTGTAGGGAGACTATGGGGAGTGGGTGTAGGGAGACTATGGGGAGTGGGTGTGGGGGGACTATGGGGAGTGGGTGTGGGGAGACTATGGGGAGTGGGTGTAGGGGGACTATGGGGAGTGGGTGTAGGGAGACTATGGGGAGTGGGTGTAGGGAGACTATGGGGAGTGGGTGTGGGGGGACTGTTGGGGAGTGGGTGTTGGGGGACTATGGGGAGTGGGTGTGGGGGGACTGTTGGGGAGTGGGTGTTGGGGGACTATGGGGAGTGGGTGTGGGGGGACTATGGGGAGTGGGTGTTGGGGGACTATGGGGAGTGGGTGTAGGGGGACTATGGGGAGTGGGTGTTGGGGGACTATGGGGAGTGGGTGTAGGGGGACTATGGGGAGTGGGTGTGGGGGGACTATGGGGAGTGGGTGTAGGGGGACTATGGGGAGTGGGTGTAGGGGGACTATGGGGAGTGGGTGTAGGGGGACTATGGGGAGTGGGTGTAGGGGGACTATGGGGAGTGGGTGTAGGGGGACTATGGGGAGTGGGTGTTGGGGGACTATGGGGAGTGGGTGTGGGGGGACTATGGGGAGTGGGTGTAGGGGGACTATGGGGAGTGGGTGTTGGGGGACTATGGGGAGTGGGTGTTGGGGGACTATGGGGAGTGGGTGTTGGGGGACTATGGGGAGTGGGTGTTGGGGGACTGTTGGGGAGTGGGTGTAGGGGGACTATGGGGAGTGGGTGTGGGGGGACTGTTGGGGAGTGGGTGTAGGGGGACTATGGGGAGTGGGTGTAGGGGGACTATGGGGAGTGGGTGTAGGGGGACTATGGGGAGTGGGTGTTGGGGGACTATGGGGAGTGGGTGTTGGGGGACTATGGGGAGTGGGTGTGGGGGGACTATGGGGAGTGGGTGTGGGGGGACTATGGGGAGTGGGTGTTGGGGGACTATGGGGAGTGGGTGTTGGGGGACTGTTGGGGAGTGGGTGTGGGGGGACTATGGGGAGTGGGTGTAGGGAGACTATGGGGAGTGGGTGTAGGGAGACTATGGGGAGTGGGTGTGGGGGGACTGTTGGGTGTGGGTGTTGGGGGACTATGGGGAGTGGGTGTTGGGGGACTATGGGGAGTGGGTGTAGGGGGACTATGGGGAGTGGGTGTAGGGAGACTATGGGGAGTGGGTGTGGGGGGACTGTTGGGGAGTGGGTGTAGGGGGACTATGGGGAGTGGGTGTTGGGGGACTATGGGGAGTGGGTGTAGGGGGACTATGGGGAGTGGGTGTAGGGAGACTATGGGGAGTGGGTGTGGGGGGACTGTTGGGTGTGGGTGTTGGGGGACTATGGGGAGTGGGTGTTGGGGGACTATGGGGAGTGGGTGTGGGGGGACTATGGGGAGTGGGTGTTGGGGGACTATGGGGAGTGGGTGTAGGGGGACTATGGGGAGTGGGTGTAGAGGGACTGTTGGGGAGTGGGTGTTGGGGGACTATGGGGAGTGGGTGTAGGGAGACTATGGGGAGTGGGTGTAGGGAGACTATGGGGAGTGGGTGTGGGGGGACTATGGGGAGTGGGTGTGGGGAGACTATGGGGAGTGGGTGTAGGGGGACTATGGGGAGTGGGTGTAGGGAGACTATGGGGAGTGGGTGTAGGGAGACTATGGGGAGTGGGTGTGGGGGGACTGTTGGGGAGTGGGTGTTGGGGGACTATGGGGAGTGGGTGTGGGGGGACTGTTGGGGAGTGGGTGTTGGGGGACTATGGGGAGTGGGTGTGGGGGGACTATGGGGAGTGGGTGTAGGGGGACTATGGGGAGTGGGTGTAGGGGGACTATGGGGAGTGGGTGTAGGGAGACTATGGGGAGTGGGTGTGGGGGGACTGTTGGGTGTGGGTGTTGGGGGACTATGGGGAGTGGGTTTAGGGGGACTATGGGGAGTGGGTGTGGCGGGACTGTTGGGGAGTGGGTGTGGGGGGACTATGGGGAGTGGGTGTAGGGGGACTATGGGGAGTGGGTGTGGGGGGACTATGGGGAGTGGGTGTTGGGGGACTATGGGGAGTGGGTGTAGGGGGACTATGGGGAGTGGGTGTGGGGGGACTGTTGGGGAGTGGGTGTAGGGGGACTATGGGGAGTGGGTGTAGGGGGACTATGGGGAGTGGGTGTAGGGGGACTATGGGGAGTGGGTGTAGGGGGACTATGGGGAGTGGGTGTTGGGGGACTATGGGGAGTGGGTGTTGGGGGACTATGGGGAGTGGGTGTAGGGGGACTATGGGGAGTGGGTGTAGGGGGACTATGGGGAGTGGGTGTGGGGGGACTATGGGGAGTGGGTGTAGGGGGACTATGGGGAGTGGGTGTAGGGGGACTATGGGTGTGGGTGTAGAGGGACTGTTGGGTGTGGGTGTTGGGGGACTATGGGGAGTGGGTGTTGGGGGACTATGGGGAGTGGGTGTGGGGGGACTGTTGGGGAGTGGGTGTTGGGGGACTATGGGGAGTGGGTGTTGGGGGACTGTTGGGGAGTGGGTGTTGGGGGACTATGGGGAGTGGGTGTGGGGGGACTATGGGGAGTGGGTGTTGGGGGACTATGGGGAGTGGGTGTGGGGGGACTATGGGGAGTGGGTGTTGGGGGACTATGGGGAGTGGGTGTGGGGGGACTGTTGGGGAGTGGGTGTTGGGGGACTATGGGGAGTGGGTGTTGGGGGACTGTTGGGGAGTGGGTGTTGGGGGACTATGGGGAGTGGGTGTGGGGGGACTATGGGGAGTGGGTGTAGGGGGACTATGGGGAGTGGGTGTAGGGGGACTATGGGGAGTGGGTGTAGGGGGACTATGGGGAGTGGGTGTGGGGGGACTATGGGGAGTGGGTGTAGGGGGACTATGGGGAGTGGGTGTAGGGGGACTATGGGTGTGGGTGTAGAGGGACTGTTGGGTGTGGGTGTAGAGGGACTGTTCGGTTTGGGTGTAGAGGGACTGTTGGGAGTGGGTGTAGAGGGACTGTTGGGAGTGGGTGTAGGGGGACTATTGGTCCGTCAAAGTTTGTGAAAGGTTGTTCTGATGTGACCTGCAATGGGATGTCCTCAGCGGTAGCGAGAACTTGTATCTGATTTTAATAATATTGAAATAATCTAAGCATGTGATTAATCCTGTTTTGTTTAACCCAGTTAAAGCATTAATTGTTTATTGTTCAGCAAGTTTATCTCAGCAGCCGTTGTAATTTGTTGCTACCAGCCATCTCGTCTCGCATCAAAACGCAGGCTGTGTACTCCTGAGCAGATGACCACAGAGTACGCTGATCACTGTGTCGGATTAACGAGACTGATAATGAGTGATTTCAGGTATTTGTTGCAATCAGGTGTTTCGGAGTCGGAGTACAAGACTGTCGGATTATCAGGTCTAAATAGCACTGATTTAATCGGTTTTCATCATTAGTGTCGGATAAAGCCGATTGTCGGATTAACGAGACTTGACTGTATAAAAATATTTTCATGATCCCAAATTTTCTTTGGACAGTATATATATCAATGTGTATTTTATTGAGATTCCAAAAACACTGCTGTGTAAAAGATGGTGCGCATTATTCTTTCAGACAATAAGTTTTGATTTTCTTTTTCCAAATCAAAAACATTACCGCAAGCAGGTACACGGAAAATAGCACGTCGACAACATAGCACATTAGAAAACGTACAACTTAATGGATAACAACTTCTGGTATATTGCATATAGCAACATTTCTTACAATGGTAAAAACCTCCTGCCCAGTAGATAGCCGCATCAAAGAACATAAGACTTCCACAGCCAAAGCAGACAGCAAATCAGCCTTCTCAGATCACTAGCCATCAAATTCAGTTTGACAAAATTCAAGTCCTCTCAACCAAACATCAGGACTTCACCAAAAGAAAACTCTTAGAAGCTATATTAATCTGCCTTCACAAACCTTTGATCAACAGAGATCAAGTGTATTACATCTCGTCTGCCTGTGAAGATCTAATCAAGCAATAGACTCTTTTCAATTAGGATCCAATCAGCTTGTCACAACTGTTTAATCCTTTTAATCGGCCTGTGAAGATCCGGGTTAGAATAGGTCTTCAGTAACCCATACTTGCCGTAAAAGGCAACTACGCTTGTCGTAAGAGGCGACTAACGGGATTGGGTGGTCAGGCTCACTGACTTGGTTGATGCATGTCATTGTATCCCAACTGCATGGATCGATTCTCATGATGTCAATCACTGGATTGTCTGGTCCAGATTCGATTATTTACAGACCGCCATCATATAGCTGGAATATTATGAGTGCAGCGTTAAGCAACAAATAAACAAATAAAATAATCCTTTTAATCCTTATCCTTACTGTACATCTGGCTTCATAACCCGTGTGCTTCTTTACCTGTGTACAATTTGTTATTCTTACTGTACATTTGGCTTCATCCAATTATCTGTATGCTCCTTGTTATCCATGACCTGTTGTCATCAATGTCAATCTGCAGCTTATCACAGCATCATGCATATAAACCTCTCATCACTTGGTTGTTGTCACTCCATCTTGATAACGGTGTAAGAATCTACATCGAAATGTCGCTATAAACCAGAAGTTGTTATCCGTGAAGTTGTATGTTTTCTTACTTCCTCACCAGGGGCGGTCGGGTAGCCTAGTGGTTAAAGCGTTCGCTCGTCACGCCGAAGACCCGGGTTCGATTCCCGACATGGGTACAATGTGTGAAGCCCATTTCTGGTGTCCCCCGCCGTGATATTGCTGGAATATTGCTAAAAGCGGCGTAAAACCTCACTCACTCACTCACTCACTCACTTCCTCACCAACTTCTAGAATGCCAGTCAAACAACATATCATGTCTTGTTATTACATATTTGGTTATAAAAAGTGTTCACTGTATTTCTGGATTTATGTTTTCAGTATGTTTCAAAAATTTTATTCAAAATTTCTTTCAATATTGTTCACAATAATTTTGGCCAAACTCACTGTTATATACAGCAATCACAATCTGAGTACCACTGTTGACGCCTTGAAACAAACCTTAGTTGTTAGAGAATGGATGCATTTTGTGAGAAACCATGAATGTTGTTTTCTGACTCTAAGGGCTGTGTATTGACAAAACAATTTACAGGTATCTGTATTGTGATATATTGGGAGCTAAAGTGTTTGCCAGTGATTGGCGCTGATTGTACATGCAGATACTATTTTCTACTAACTAATGTAAATATTACTTATCATGGTCAGTCACCGCCATTTTGTTGTCATGGATACAGGGGAGATACTTATGTGAGTGAAAAATCACCTTCACGTTTTCGCTGTTGTCAATCAATTTCATAAAGGAAACATCATAATAACCAACCAAAGCAAAATGTCATTGCTGATTGGCTGATCTCAAATGATGGCCTGTCAAACTGTTCCATACAGGAAATTTAACTTACAATATTCCAAAGTGCCAAAGGTATTTTGTAACTGAATCACTGGTAGATCATGAGAAAATATGTATACAGCTGATCTTAATCTCTGCATATGAAAAATGGTCTTGGATAACAGGAATTACGATTGTAATTGTGTTAAATCATCATTTTCATTTATCACAAAATTCACATTATTTTTTACCAAATTTTTTAATCTCCTGTTCGTTCACATACATCGTTACGATGTAGTTTTTGACTGCACATTATGTAAAAAATAGCAACTTTTCCAAAACTTGTACCCAACAATGGGGTGTGCACAATGGACACAAGAAAATACAGTATTAAATATGTTACATCATATCAGCAATATATTGCCAATAGAACAATGGAGTAATTTAATGATGTATGGAAACATTATGCTTTGTCCTTATTCTTCTTTACCCTTTTCTCATCTATCTTAATATTCTTGCGAGATCAAATGAAAATCTAATGATTACTGTAAATTTGGAAGGTTTTGCAAGCAGGAAAGTTCTGCACAAAAAAAAGAAAAAAAGTGTAACATACACCCATTTATATAAATTCTCTACATTTTTTAGCAACTCCTCTGAAACCAATGGAGTTAAAACCAATGGAGAATGAAGCTGAAACCTGAAATACTTTTTCATTTTAAACTTATGACTGCCATATTTACTTTTGTCACTTTTGACCAATACTCAGTAACTTTGACATGTATAATTATGAAATTTGATTGGAGCAGGCATGTGACATGCATAAATAACAATATGTTATATGGCATATTTTGATTATGACCCTGCTAAGGCCTGTTGTTATTGATATACTGTTTTATTGTATAAAAAGGTTCTTTTACTTATGTTTACATGTTCTGTTTACCAGTTTATGATCCTTCTTTTATTCTACTGTTGCAAATATTCTTGAAATTTTCAGGTGAGCTACAGAGCCTTCTGACTCCTTTAAATTTTGTTGACAAAATTAGGGACAGAAGTGGTTCCTTTGTGTTCATTTTAGCGCTTTGATCAGGGCACCTGAATTGTGTGCCACACAACAGGACATTATCCAGGCTTCCAACATGCAGCATGGCTGTAGAAAAAGACAAAGTCATCAATGATTAGGGCTGCAGAGCCATTGCCAGGTCAATTTTCAGAGAGGGTTTTGTGTCTGGGCCAGTAGCAGAACATTTACAGGGGTGGTGTTTTGGTTTTGCTGATGAGTTCCATCAAAGGACATTTCAGTATACGAATGCCTCAATGTCTCACAAGTCATGGTTATCTTGTGACAGGTCTTCCAACATTTTATTATGGGAAGTAATTGGATTGAGAAACTGTATGACTAGACTTAATGTTGTTGCCTACAGCGTGCAACCCTTTCAATCACACACCCTGGCAGGTGCTTGGCCAATATATTCTTTCTGGTGTCAGTCCTTGGAAAGAACACTTTGGTTCATGCAGAACCCTGGATAATAATACTTACCACTAGTGCTGTTAGAGCAAATCATGTTTTGAACATGCTACACGTCCCTTTCATCCCTGTTCCTGTGTAGGTAGGGGATGTTGGGTAGCCGAGTGGTTAATGTACTGGCTCATCTTGCCTTAGTTCCAGGTTTGATTCACCTTTTTTACAATTTGGTGTACATGCTCATGATATGTCTGGAATATAGCCAAAGAACAAAAAACCACAAACACCTTCTGCATGTGTTATATTCACTAAGAATTCCTGGTCAATTTGAACCATTTATTCCCTTAAACATGTTGAGCAAGGTGAAACTGCAGCTGTGAGAGGCCCAATATTGACCCTACTGTTTCAAAAAGATTACACAGATTTTTGATGGCACAATAAAGAATATCAAATGACACTTGTTTTCCCAAAACATTATTGAGAGGGTAACAAAATTGAATTTTATTTCAATTTGAAAAGCAAAAATAATATATTTAAAGAAATTTAACATCTTCTGTGACGATATATACACTTACGGGAATCAGTGTTTGAACTGAATGATTGAAATCAATTCTTGCCATCCTTTGAGAAACTTGAACTTTTATCTCACAACTTATCGTGTCTTTTACCTGGTGCAATTTCCTACATTTGTGAAATGTGTGAAGCCAATGTTTTCTTTCCTGTGATACAAATTGAATAATAGAATTACACAACCCTACTTTCTACTTAACTTTTGCATCATACATTTCCAAAAGAAAACTGAAAGAGGACAAGGGTTCCTGTTGTCTTGTGGAAGGATATCTATTGTGTTTGTGTTGTTTCAGTTGGAGGACACACATCGGTCATTGGAAAAGAAGAACATTGTTCTGCTGGAGGAGTTGTCACACTATATCACTCAAAACAGAAACAGGTGAGAATCAGAAGAAGAGTGTTCTCTTGGAGGAGTTGTCACACTATATCACTCAAAACAGAAACAGGTGAGAATCAGAAGAAGAGTGTTCTCTTGGAGGAGTTGTCACACTATATCACTCAAAACAGAAACAGGTGAGAATCAGAAGAAGAGTGTTCTCTTGGAGGAGTTGTCACACTATATCACTCAAAACAGAAACAGGTGAGAATCAGAAGAACAATGTTCCTTTGGAACAGGTGAGAATCAGAAGAGTGATGTTCTCTTGGAGGAGTTGTCACAGTATATCACTCAAAACAGAAACAGGTGAGAATCAGAAGAAGAGTGTTCTCTTGGAGGAGTTGTCACACTATATCACTCAAAACAGAAACAGGTGAGAATCAGAAGAAGAGTGTTCTCTTGGAGGAGTTGTCACACTATATCACTCAAAACAGAAACAGGTGAGAATCAGAAGAACAATGTTCCTTTGGAACAGGTGAGAATCAGAAGAGTGATGTTCTCTTGGAGGAGTTGTCACAGTATATCACTCAAAACAGAAACAGGTGAGAATCAGAAGAAGAGTGATGTTCTCTTGGAGGAGTTGTCACACTATATCACTCAAAACAGAAACAGGTGAGAATCAGAAGAAGAGTGATGTTCTCTTGGAGGAGTTGTCACACTATATCACTCAAAACAGAAACAGGTGAGAATCAGAAGAAGAGTGATGTTCTCTTGGAGGAGTTGTCACACTATATCACTCAAAACAGAAACAGGTGAGAATCAGAAGAAGAGTGATGTTCTCTTGGAGGAGTTGTCACACTATATCACTCAAAACAGAAACAGGTGAGAATCAGAAGAACAATGTTCCTTTGGAACAGGTGAGAATCAGAAGAGTGATGTTCTCTTGGAGGAGTTGTCACAGTATATCACTCAAAACAGAAACAGGTGAGAATCAGAAAAAAATGTTCTCATGCAGTGTTAGATCTTGGCATAAGTCCTATAGTCCTTGCTAAACTGCCCAAAGTTAAGTTATCATAAGAACTAGTAGAAACAGCAATTTTTAAGGGTTTTGCTTTATGTTATCATTATAAGGACTAGTGGACTAAAAATGTTAGTTTCTACCGCTGTCATTAAGTTGTTGTCTCCCTATATCAGGTGAGAATCAGAATCCAATATGTCTGACTTGCACTTCCTGTGTACCTTCTTGTCTGGGAACTCTGGTGCCTTTCTGCTTAACATTTTTGCACTTGAATATCAAAGAAGTCTAACGTTTTCTTAGTGATCAATATTATCTGTTGTTATGGTCAAAAGGTCTTTCTTCCTGTATCAATATCATTAGACATTAACCCTTTTGATCTCAAGACGCTGATGTATTGTACATACCTTCAAGTGATACTCCTAGTATTATTTCATGAAGTGAGTCCAACATGTTTCCAAGGCTTTGAAAGCCAAATTGAGATCACCAAGTGCCAGCTTATGAAGAAAAATAAGATTTGATAACACTGACACTGTGACATCTGCCTTATCTGAAAGGGTTAAGATCTGTCTCCCAGCATCCGTTTATTACACTCTGAGATAGCAACTTAATGAAAGAATCAAATTCAATCAAATCTGGCTCACTTCCATTGATCTGACCAGAGACAGACAGAAATGGTTACAAACTGTTTGATCACAGGTTCTTAAGTGTTGTGTGTACTCATTACTTAAACCAAGTTGCCCACCACAAATCAAACTCGTCTTTACAAAATTCGCTTTTCTTTGTCCACTATTTAAACCCAAGATGAAGATTTAAGCAGCCTGATCGAAAGACACATTGATTTTGGTATTGGGAGATTGGAGCCTGTTTGTGGCTTAATGCACACTGCATGCAAACTATCTTTTTTACTGACAGGACTTTGACGTCTCGTCTTGAAGGGCTGTTTGGTGCTTTCAGAGACACTGTATGAAAATCTGGTTTCTAAACTGAGAAAAAGTGGCCTCCATGTCACCTTTCAGGGTCAAAGAGGTCCTTGGTTGTCCCCATTGACTTCAGGGCATACCATTGAATCCATTTCAGTTGCTGTTGCCATTCACAGATTTTATGAAGGTTTTTGATGAATTGCCCAACTATTGTATTAGCATCTAGTGGAGCGTTGTAAACTGTCTGGGATATATTGGCCTGGGCACATCCAGTGCCAGAAGGAAGATGGTATCTTATGTCAATGAAAGGTAGTGGTCTACATGTTCAATACATTCTTTTGGATCTGTTGCTTTTGTTTAGTAATGTACACACTGAAACCTCTTAATCCTGGAGAACCCACATTCCACACAGCCTATTCTGTGTATGTTTTTAAGCCACACTTTTTGTTTTACCTGTTTTTCGGATCTGCCGACTGTAACTTTTGTTGAAATGGAAAAAAACAACATTCAGAATTTGCTCTTTTACTTTTCCCACTAAGTATTTTCTAAACAAAGACCCACTGAAGTTGACATATATTAGACATGGGAGTCAAAATAAAGTTTGTTGTTGTTTCTGAAATTGCTAGGATGCAGAGATGCAAAACAGAGTTCCCACTGGATTCATCAGGTTTGCATGGCTTAAGGCAACAGTTGTGTTGCAGGCTCACCTCCCACATTAAACCAGCTATATTTCTTATACCAGCAGACCTGTAGTGGAGCAGAAAAAAAATTGAATTGTTTTTTGTTTGTTTTTTCCCCACCTATCAACAGGTATTTTCCTGTAAAAAATGCCTAAAGCAAGTAAAGAAAGTGCGGCCTAAAGGAACATTATTTTGAAACTATTATTCGTTAATCAGGACAATTTCTTCAGAATGATATCAGAGTATTGAGGTTTCATGGCATATATGATGGCATAAATTCATTTTATTCTATTAAACAATGTTTTTATAACGATCAGTTACTCTGTGATCCCACCTTCATGTAGATGGTCATTTGCACATGCATTTACAGGTAACATTTCTTCTCTTGATCCTGTGAATTACAATTCTGGCACAATTCCATTAAATTCCATTACAATTTTGTGCCAATCTCCATTAAATTGCTTTACAATTCTGGAACAATTCCACTGAATTCCATACAAATTCTTCGCCAAGGACATCAAATGGGCGATCTTTTTCAATTTGACGGCGCATGAGTTATGTGTGATACAAGGGGTGCATGTTACTATCACATCTATGGATAGTTATCCAGTATAAGATGACCATGACTGCTTATGTTGTGATACTAGATCACTTGTTAGCCATTCGACACGAGGCGGTGGGATCAGCTGATTGTTCATTCAAAGGTGCTTTGTAGACGTTTTGCAGTCAGTACTAAAAGTGTTGCCCTTGATGTTTGAATATCACGCTGTAAGAATGAAGTATGTTTTCATTGTATACTTAATCATATCAACATTGTATTATCACCGACTAGGCTATATGCATGCATTTCAGTACAGCGGTTAGGCGATGCAGTATGCGAAATGTGAGCGTCTTATCCAAATTAGAGTTTGTCAGTAAATGTTGTGAATTTTCCCAGCAACACAAGTATTTATCAGGTGTTCAGGTATATATAACTGAGAGGGATGAGAAAAGGTTTCAAGAAATTGCAAAAGATACAGGCACTAAAATAATGTCATCAACTCCATATCATAACACAATGTTCAAAACAAAAGAGATGGAAATCACTGAAATCCATTTTAATATTTGTGAACGTTAATTGGTGCATGGTGTATAAAAATATTGTATGGATGAATGTTGGCTGTTTATTTGCAATAATTACCATGATTACATTTCAATTTTGATCAATAAAAGAGAGATATTATTTATGATGTTATTTTTCTCTCTTTATATCAATAGATATCTGCATTGCACAATGTTATAATTTTATTTGATATCTTTGTATAATTGTGCATGTGCACTAGTATTAGATTACACATGCATGACTTTTTAGCAGTCATTATACATAAATATGACCGATAACCTGTAAAAAGAAATAACATAAATAAATGCATTTAGACATTTACATGGAATGATTGTAGGGTTACATTTGTATTAATGTCATGATAAAAATATTTGATTATAAACTTTTTAATATCATACTTGCTATATATATATAGAGGTTATCACGCGAGTGTGTTTGGGGATGGTAAATATCCTGCATTAGGAATAAACATTGTATTTAGCGAGCCTTGGCGAGCTAAATACATAGTGTTTATTCCTAATACAGGATATTTACCATCCCCAAACACACAAGCGTGATAACCTCTTTATCATATAATGTCATTCTTTAATTCTGTGCTTCAAAATTGCTTTCTCTCTCTCACAATCATTACCGAAACATTGCGAGTTTTCCTGGAATGCGCGCATTAATATATATTACGTCATAGGGTAAGTGATGTGTCAGTCGGACAGTGACAGTAGCCAATATAGTTCCAACTGAAATCTGTTTCTTATACAGTGGCGAAGGAACATATACGCAAAACAATTGCCTTGTAATTGCCTTTCGCGGCAATCCATCGGTCTGTCCGCTAGAGTAACTGCCCTTTGTCAAAGGGAAGCTACTCTAACCCTAGTCTATGAGACGTCACGGCCACGGTCAGATGTTGTTGACAGTCAGTCTGTCTTGTCATAACGTTAAGAAGTGTAGTCAGATGTACACAAAGCGACAAAACGAAACAAGGTAACAATTCGAACATATTCCGGCCAAATCCAACTATTTTAATTTGTGGAGAAGGTTTCAAGCCGCAGAGGTTACAACCACAGATATGGCTACTGATCCCGCTTGGCTAGGCCTCGTGCCCTCGCAAAATTGTTCGAAATGTATATCTCCAAAGTTGCTAAAACTTATAAAATGCCTTAGCTACGTCACAGTTAGACACTGATTTTCAGTATATTAGACTGTTCTTTTGATAATGATAGCATTTATCCCTGTAGTTTATCCAGGTTCGGGATGGTTAATTCTGACTCGATCGCCGAATGACGAGGGCGACACCATGTTTGTTTATAAACAGCGAAAGTAGTCCCTACTTGACCTTTGATATTTGCATCTCTATCCGCATATGACCCTAACGGATATCGTTTTTATCCGTTGGCTTTATCCTGCCGAGAAACCTACCCATTATATGATAAATCATAATATATAATAAATAGACTTGATACTACAGGTGTCTTGAAGTACTGTTGAATGAAAATATCAGGATATATATAGCAATAGCAGGATAGTGCATGGATTGTAAGGGAAATAACTTGTCAACATGTGTTACCAAAACAAGAAGAGACAACAATCATTTACATTTATGGGGGCGGTCGGGTAGCCTAGTGGTTAAAGCTTTCGCTCGTCACGCCGAAGACCTGGGTTCGATTCCCGACATCGGTACAATGTGTGAAGCCAATTTCTGGTGTCCCCCGCCGTGATATTGCTGGAATATTGCTAAAAGCGGCGTAAAACCATACTCACTCACTCACTCACTCATTTACATTTATGCATCATAAGCATAGAATGGGGTTGTCAGTATGATTGTTGCTTGTTGCAACAAATATCTCTTATTTACTACTATTTTAAATCATGTTTATCAGAACTTTGAAAGAGATGGATCAATCAATGAACACCTGTGATGACTCAAAGCACTAAATGATGGGACATATTCTATAAGGGAGAGAATAATAGGGGTATATTTTAAATTTTAAACTAGGATGACTGGTATGTCAATTGCAACTGGGAAACTGAGTTGTTGTTGGATGAATGGTAGATTTTCATTTGTCAATTTCTAAAAAAATATTGTCAGAATTAAAAAAAGATGAAATCAGATGTAAGGGGAAATGTTGATATCAAAGAAACATTTGAAATCATTTGTTTAATTTTGAACATGATTTCTTCTTCAATTATTAGTAAAGGCATGGATGTAAATATAATTATAGATCTGTTGTAAAGGTCAAAATTGTCTTTACTTTAAAAAATTATATACTTATTAATTTATGTTCATTCTACCAACTTGCCCATTGGTCTGCCTTCACATTCCATCTGCAAGCTCATTTACATAACACTGTATTCATGTTCCATGAGCAAATATCATTCACCTTACCACTATCACCTTTGTTGACCACTGGTTCCTGTAACTTCAGAACGGTCAGCCTGTCCAGGTTGAGCAAGGAAGGCTGCCAGAATGACGACACAGTGACGCGTGAGAAGTGGACGTTGATCAGCAACATCTGTGACATGGTACTGGAAGAGTTGCAGGTGAGCTGTGTTGCCAGGGGTTACTCTGTGGTGCCAGGGGCTACTCTGTATTGCCAGGGGTTACTCTGTGTTGCCAGGGGTTACTCTATGAGATTCCTAGTCAGCAATCCATGCTGGTCATGAGAGGTAATTCCACATTTATCAAGCTCTGTGACTTTGTTGATTGCGTGTCATCGTACCCCGATGGTGTGGATCGATAATCATAATATCAATCGCTGGAATGTCTGGTCCAGACTTTTATATTTACAGGCTACCATCATGTATTGATGGAATACTGCTGAGTGTGGCATCAAACAACAAACAAATGCCAGGGGTGAGTCAGGGGCACCTTTCTCTGAGACAGTCACGTTTGTTTTTGTCATATAATCGATAGTGTTATCAATGTGATGAACCACACTGATAACCTTGGTATCATGATCCGATAAGTATGCAAATGAGATCACCAAGCAGGAACTACTTTTCATAAGGTCGATATGTCGAAACAATGCATAGCTGCTTGATAATTTATTGAAAAATGTTCCAAGAAAGTAGAGCTGGGACGAGTCCAAATTTACTACCCGGGTACCCGACCTCCTATTACCCGAACCTACCGGGGTACCTGCTGTAAGTCTCAAATGGGAACAAAATGTCTGATTGGTAATTGTTTTACCGCAGCCTTGGCGAAAACTATTTAGATACATTGTGTCAAACAATCAGATCATGTGTTCACTGAAGTTGACTAAAGCTTTATCTTTACTCAAACATATACAAGTCAAAAGGAATGTGTGCATGGTCAGAAAAAAATGCGAACATTAGCGACTTTTAGTGTAACCACTGAGCTATAGTGAGTTTTTGTCATTAAACAATATATCACGTGACTAACCACGGGTCCGGGTAGTCCTGTGGGTACCCGAGTCTTACTCAGGACCCACCCGACCCGAGTACCTGAGTTACTTGTCCCAGCCCTACCAGCAAGCTTATAACAGATGAGATTCCTTATGTTGCTTCTGTACACAAACATGTCTGCACTGTAATACAGGGAGCAGTTCACTCATTGTATTAATACATGGCTCCTAAAGTTACTTTTGCGAAAGAAAATATGTCTTAAACTTGCATAATTTTTTGAATGACATTATATGATAAGTACAGTATTACCATGTGTCTTTCCATATCATAAATATCATATAATGGAGGCCAGGTGAAATGGGTTTTAACATTGCGTTTTTATATTGGAATAGAAAAATATGTATTATGCTGACCAAAGCTGTCAGCAGGAAATCATATTATAGCTGCTTCTATCTGGTTTTGTGAGTTTCTGTACGGAGTTCCTCTGATGCCTAATGAAAGAAATATTCAAAAATGAAACATTTTAAAAAATTATTAGATCAGTCCTTCAGACTAGAAGCAAAGCTGTATGTCTTCACCACTTCCAAGGGATGTTGTTCAGGATTAAGGTCTGGTTGTGAACTACAAGAAATGTCCTACGATGTCCTTGAGAAGCTTTGGCCTTCCAGACTGGCACAGTTTCCTTGGAGTTCAGTATGGTGAATGCCATGGTATTATCTCTTGTGCATCCTTTGGCAGTCTTTTCTTGTCTCCTCAGTCTTTGGTCATGCAGTGATAACTCAATGATCTTCAGGATCTGATGGAATCCTGGACATGGATCATTGAAATTGCGAAGAATGAGCTATAACTTGAATTACAACTCTGAAGTGCGATGATCTCAACTGGGGACTATCAGTTCAGTGAGTCTTGGATGGATTACTTCCTAAAGAGAGCACTATTTACCTTCTGAAACATACTCAGTTGTTGCTGGATGTGTGGAGATGCTGTGTGGGTCACCCATGGTAGTTCCAGCCCAGAGGGTACTGACCTTCACTGTCCTGGAATAGTCACGGTAAGCTTGGAGTCCAAGGCCTTCATGCTAAATCTGTACAGCTCACCTACAAATGTACTGGTATGTTTTAGTAGAGTAGCCCCACAGTCACACGAGAGGTGCTAGAAGGATCAGTGCAGCTGCTGCAGATAGATGTCCTTCATTCAGTGGTGAAAGTCTTGAGGGATTTTCATCTTGAGATCACTGGAACACCATCATTCATCTTTTTGGTAGAACAGTGGTCCTAACATGCCTGAGAACCAACGTACCGAAGGAGCTAGTGACATCCTTTTTAAAGTTTCCAGGCCAAAGAAAAACCTTCTGACAATTTAAGATGTTTTTGACTGCAGTACCTGATTGGTAAGGTGGTATGCCTCTTGGCATTTGCTATACATAAGTACTGAGAGGAGCACTGGCCAATGATCTGGTCTTCAAGGCAATTGACCACACATTTCCTTGTTCCATCACTGTTACATGCTCTTCAATATGTGACCTAGGCTGTGCTTGGTCCTGTCTCGTATTGGTGTTACCATGGTCTTAGCATTAAAGATGCTTTGTGGAACTGGGCCCTGCCTCTTCATTTCATTTTCTGAACTTCGATGGGAAATGTGAGGCTGCTGCGTTGATCTCCAGATGACTGATGATGTTATGGTTCTGTTTTCTGGTAGGTTCTGAATTCTGGAGGTTCAGGTGCAGAATAGGTCCATAGTACCACATGCTTATCACAACACGACTGAAAATGAGTTGGGGTGTGAGTATGGTCTTACATCACTTTTAGCAATATTCCAGCAATATCACGATTGGGGACACCAGAAATGGGCTTCACACATTGTACCCATGTGGGGAATCGAACCTGGGTCTGACAGAAAATGGAATGAGGTGGTAACGATGTGTGACCAAGTTGATGTGCGTTATCATACCCTGATTGTGTGGAGCATTGCTTATGCCATCAACAACTTGTTTGCCTCACCCAGTTTCACATGTATTGCTTTGCAGGCAGCTTGTATGGCTGTAATATTGCATATCACAGTGTAAATAACATTCCCTAACAAGTAAACAAGAAAGTCATACTTCCCCACAGTTATTGCAGGAAGACAGAACTAAAATGTTGGATGTGAAATAAGCAGTTTGTTATTTTCTTGACAATGTGCATATTTTAGGTAAATAATGAACAAATTATATGGCCTTTATCATTTGATATAAAAGAAATAATGATGAAATATGTATTGACAGATAGCAGTAATGCTTCAGAGGTATTAGGTTTATTATACTAGTTTTTAGGATATGCCTATTTTGTACATGTGAGGAAGTTTTGTATCTGCTTAGTATATTTTCCCTCTTGCATTGATGTGATAGGTAAGTGCATCATTGGGAATCAAGTTTCCATATGGAAGAAAAACAAATAAATCATCATGTGTAATATTTATTCCCAGTGGACGTGAAAAAGGAAATCTGCCTGAAAAGTTGTAATAATTCACACAAGATCATGAAGAACAAACAGAATACTTCTCTGAATTATTAATAACATAAATATAATTTTCCATCAAAGCTGTTGTAGCAGGACTGAATCTATGAATCATTTTGTCACTTCTCTCATCAGGGAATACAGCTTTCACCAAGAAGTTTAAAAACTGACACTCTGAAAAAATATAATGTTCTGCTCATTGTCAGTGTTCAGTGTTGAGTTATCACTTATTACCGAAGATGGTGTACATTGTTCCCTCCAGATAAACCATCACAACAACAGGAAGTGGTTTTGCTTTGCTTAAAAATGTCCGCTTCCTCTCCAACTGTTGTGTATGTATCAAAAAAAGAAGGAAATAAATAAGGCCATGTATGCGATGGAAGTACATACCCGGTACATGTGATACCTCCCGATCTGTCCAGAAGGCTCCTGGATAAGCGACCCTCATCATGGTCACCCGCCAGAGAGGCCCATTTGACCCGGATGAGCCTTTGTCTAGTAATCAACTAGTAAATTAATCCATATGGTAAAAGATTTAACAATGTGAATGAGTGAGTGAGTGAGTTGGGTTTAACGCGGCTTTTAACAGTATTCCAGTTATATCACGGCGTGTCAGCTTAATGTGGGAGGAAAGCCCAAAGTGATGCAGGTCTCAGACGTTTACCACTTTGGTGAAACCCACGAGCACGGGTATGGTGCTGACAACCTAGAAACATAATTTGGGTAAATCAGGATTCGAACCCACAATCATAGGTTTCTGGCATGCCCAGGGGCACAGCTCTCCACAGCACATTGTGGCACCTTAGATGACTGGGCCACCCGTGCCCCAATGTAAACTGTAAAGTGAACTCAGATAGTCAGACAGGTGCCTGAACTTGAAATGAATAATCAGCCAAACACTTGTCACTTCCTGTTGTTAGCGTGTTTATTCCTGCATAACGCTGATATACATGACCGGCCCAGTTATACATGATTTTATTGGTTATCAGATTTATCAGAAACTCTGTTAAAATGCCATTATACCTTGAAATTGCACCAATTGCAATGAAACTAAATATGACCAGCAGGCGCTGTCTGAACACACAATTACAATGCATGATTTGTTATTTCAGTAGTTGAAATAACATTGAGTTACACGATCAGGGTTCCTCATGTGGTTTCATAGTCTAAGTTAAAGTAAAACTCATGTCAATATGCCTGTTAGCTGACATTGTGACTCGTCTGCATGGAAATACTAATGCATCAAACTTTGTCAAATTTCGCGGGAATGTATCATGTCATTATTTTACGCAAATTGATTGACTAATAGTTTTCCAGCATCCCAAATTATCAATCTGCTTTGCATACAAAAGTATTAGTCAACCAATGAGAGTAATACACCGCGAGGTCAGAAAGGTCAACAACATCAACAAGGCACATTTCATTCATAAATCGTAGTCAAACGTATTAGCACTTCCAAATATGGCATACATTTCTTGGAAATGGAACTTTTCTAGGGAATTTATTAAGTAAAGTTGTCAGACTATTAACAGACTACCACAGACAGAAAAACAGTATATTTTAATGAATTAGGGTGATTATGTTGCATCACGATAAACGCCATTGATATTTCTTTGTTAATTTTACCAAAATCTCGCCAAACCTCCGTCATGAGGAACCCTGACGATTGGTTGGATTGAACATGTCGTCAAATAGTCTGTCTACCGATCATTCGTTTTTAATATCTGTTTGCGTTTATCTGATAAGATCTATGACTAAAGTGATATGGGTAGATGTGAATTTTTTTATTATTATTGGTCCATGTATCCTAAAAGGCCGAAGTATACCTGGGTCAGTATGAAATCTACTTTGTTTGTGTACAGCTGCCCATTTCCATGGTTTTACGAAGTTTTATGATCGATCTACCATGATTTTGAATCTAAAGATGTAAATAGATATGAGTCATATGCTACATTTAGACTCTGTCATTATTTTGTCCTTTTTAGAAAAAGAAATTTAATGGGGCAAGACCTGTGAAGATCCGGGGTAGAATAGGTCTTCAGCAACCCATGCTTGCCGTAAAAGGCGACTATGCTTGTCGTAAGAGGCAACTAACGGGATCGGGTGTTCAGACTGGCTGACTTGGTTCATGCATGTCATCGTATCCCGATTGCGTGGATCGATGCTCATGATATCAATCACTGGATTGTCTGGTCCAGACTCGATTATTTACAGACCGCCGTCATGTAGTTGTAATATTGCTGAGTGCGGCATAAAACAACGAACCAAACCAAAACTAAATTGGGACAAATATAAATTATTATTATTCTGTCAAATTGTTTGTTTGTTGCATAAATGAAGGCCCAGAAAGCATGTTCAATGATTATTGATAAGGAAAACTTACCGGTACCTTTGTGAAGCTACCATTGTAAATTGATAAAGTGTGATGACATTTAATGGGTGCTATATTCTCCCTGATAGATGCAAACATCTCTCTAAAAGTAAAGGCTTAATATCCCTGACACCCTCTGACAATTTATCACATGTATGGAAGTCCAATGAACTCAACTCTGTGATTGAAGTTTGAGTGAACCCTAACCTTGCCTGACATTGAAGTAATGTAGGGTAGATGGCTGTAAGGTTCTAGCACGTGTTGCATGAAAATATTGCTCTTGGATATGGAACCAGCCTACAGACTCATGGCCTTTGACATTCCTCCAGTCTTTAATAACTAGTGTAGCTTGAAATGACAGTGTGCAATGTTTCAAATGAATTGAAGGTTGGATATATATAATATTGATGCCGGTATTTGCCATTTTAGCTTCATTGTGTTCTGAAATACCAAGTTCAGCGTGAACTGAATTCTTTAATCATGTTAATGAAGTCATGAGAATCATATTGGATGATAAATAAGATTTTAACTTTTTGTGTCTCTTCGTGTTAAGTCTATCAAAACAAATGAAACTATGTGATGGTTTCAAATTTTAGCAATTCTCAGAGTGGTTATAATAAATGAAGTCATAAATCTACAACATTCCGTTATCATAACAATAGGTTGACTTTGATGTATTGTTTCTTTGTTGCTTTGACATTTGAAAAACAAGAACAATAATTAGGTGGCAATGAATAGTATATGTATAACGACCTTCTCGAAACATGGAATTACCTATTATCTGTCCTGAGAGTGATTGCTGAAAGCCCCCTCCTTGGGCTTTGAATCCAGATATATTCAACAATTCCTTGTAACATGTAGCTGAAACATTAAGCAGTGGAAATCAAATGTCTTAGAAGATACAAGAACCAATAGAGAATAATCTCATGCAGCTTGCAGCCCGAAAAGCACTGAAAGATTAGAACCTTGTGTCTAGAGCAATGGCTTTTTATAGTTGAGGTGAAATTGGGTTTAACGTTGCGTCCAAGATTATTGCACGTATATAGCGATGTGCATGTACGTGCGTGTGTTTGTGTGGCTGCTTGTACTAGTCCGGACTGATGCCGATTTATAGTGCTAGGTCACTGAGATACCATGCCGCAGTTTAACATGAATACCCCACTCAGACACAGCATACTGACTCCGAGCCGACCAGTCCTTGTTTTAGCCCCTCAATGCTGAAAGCCAGACAGGGTAACAACAAGTACCATCTTTTAAGGTCTTTTGGTATGACGTGGCCGGGGATCGAACCCCGGACCTTCCGCTCTTCGGGCGGACGCTCTACCACTAGACCATGGAGGCGGCTGGCTTTCTATACATTAATCGTGTGAGTCTATTTTCTTTCGGAGGCCACAGCAGTTTTGCTTAGTGTTTTATGGTTTTTCTAGGCCATGAGGCCAAGATTGAAATATTGTACAGTACTCACCACAGGCCCGGGGCAGTAGGAAAGCATTTAGTGGTTTAAACATTCACTTTTCATGCTGAAGGCCTAGGTTCGATTTCCAAGATGGTTGATATGGCTGTCAATTTGCTAAAAGCTCATCCACTCATTGCTTGTCAATGTGTTTATATTGAAGATCATGGCTGGTGCCAGCTCCTCGCAAATTCCAAGGATCTACGCTAATTTAGTCAGATTCTCTGAACTATATTTCTTAGCCTAAAGGGCACATTTTATGATCATATTATTTTATATTACCCTTTCCTATGTAGTGCAGTTTCTAACACTTTTTGATTTTTTTGTCTCTTTTCAGAGTGAAAAGTTTATTTGTGCAGTTTGCAAAATAAAGCGGAAATCCCGTATGCTGTACCCATGCGGCCATTATTCACTATGTGAGGACTGCGCTGATCAGATGTTGCAGGGGAAGAGGGAATGTCCGATATGTAAACAGCATGTGACGTCACACACTCGGGTGTATGAGTGAGGCAGTGTCCGATATGTAAACACCATGTCACGTCACTCACTCGGGTGTATGAGTGAGGCAGTGTCCGATATGTAAACAGCATGTGACGTCACACACTCGGGTGTATGAGTGAGGCAGTGTCCGATATGTAAACAGCATGTGACGTCACACAGTCGGGTGTATGAGTGAGGCAGTGTCCGATATGTAAACAGCATGTGACGTCACACTCGGGTGTATGAGTGAGGCAGTGTCCGATATGTAAACAGCATGTCACGTCACACACTTGGGTGTATGAGTGAGGAAGTGTCCGATATGTAAACAGCATGTCACGACACACACTTGGGTGTATGAGTGAGGCAGTGTCCGATATGTAAACAGCATGTCACGACACACACTTTGGTGTATGAGTGAGGCAGTGTCCGATATGTAAACAGCATGTGACGTCACACAGTCGGGTGTATGAGTGAGGCAGTGTCCGATATGTAAACACCATGTCACGTCACACACTCGGGTGTATGAGTGAGGCAGTGTCTGATATGTAAACAGCATGTCACGTCACACACTTGGGTGTATGAGTGAGGCAGTGTCCGATATGTAAACAGCATGTCACACACTCAGGTGTACTAGTGAGGGAATGTTTTTTGACAGCACAGTCAGCAATAGTCCAGCTATGTGACCTCGGACCCCATTGAAGAAATAGAACATGCAATAAGCCAGGTCGAAGAACTTTCTGCAGTCAGCTGTTAGGACAAGCTTTTTAGCAAAAATACCTCACTGTTTTTTGCATTCAGCACCAAGGGGTAGTTTTTTAATGTATGGAACAGTTTGATCGGTCACTGTTCGATATTGACTAATGAGTGATCGCGTGATAGGGACCACTGTGAGATAACAGATTGATTATTTTCAAATTACAATCTCAAATTATGGCATTTTAGGTATTTCATTCTCTGACAACTATGAACAGACTGAGATGATTGCCGACACAACACATAACAGCAGTGTATCTATTCAGAATACGATACTTACACACTAATCCTACACTACACGTGACACAAAAATAAAATAAGGATTAAAAAAATGAGATAATTGGTCCACAGGTAATGACTTTTCAAAATATGGTGTGGGCGGGCGGTGTTATTGTTTTTGATTGATGAAACTATTAGGCAATAAATAGTTGTATACCATCAACCTGAGAAAGGGCCTCCTAAAATAAACAGGCATACAAACGTCTATTGCCACCATGACCATAACACAAGATGCTCAGTTAAGCAGTGCACATGTAAAGGGAAGCAACTGTGTGCCATATTGGATCGCATTGTTTTTAAGTGTTAGAATTTTTTTTTTTTTTTGAAAATGGAAACAAAAACGAAACATGCTGCGGACTTTATGATGATGTGGGCAGTGCTTGAGAACCAAGACTGTTATTTCTTTTAGCCGAAATGACATTGTTGTTAACAGAGGAAGGGTCATAAGGATTTGCAAGAATGCACACGCATACATAAAACACTGAGTTCTGTCCAATACCTGCTCTCTACTCAGATGTATTATGATATTTACACATAGAAATATTTTATATTTGATATACCTTCCTTTATTGTTGAATTAAATTATTGTCATATATGAAATGTGTTTTGTCATTTCTTCAACATATTATGTCTTCACATATGGTTTATAGTTAATGTGATCAATTTATGTTAATGTCAACTTTTAGTAATAAAGTTTGATGAAAATATGACTGGTGAAAAAATGACAATGGTGTAGCTACGATGTCATGACATGCTTATGTAGACACAGATTTAATCTGTCTTATCTGTGCTATATCAACAAGAATATTTTGAAATATTTTCTGGAAACTGAATTTGCACATCCTTCAGCAAAGTGATGATGTTGTGCCATTTACAATAAAGACTTTTTCAAATCCTTTACTTGTAACATACTCAGCAATGTCAGACATTAAGCGAAAGAGGTTCCTGTCTGGAGCAGTACCTGAATCACATACGAGTCAGAAGCCATTGGGTGTCGGTTAGTAGCCAATATTTACTCACAGGGGCTCTGGGTGGCCAAGTGGCAGAGCTGTGTAGCAGGATGAAATGGTTGTGAGTTCAAATGACAGATTGCTACAATAGTTCTTGTATGAAAACCTTCCTGATGTTGTGGACAGAGCACCTGTGGAAGGTCGGTGGTTCAAACCCTGGCCACATCATACCAAAGATATTAAAAGATGATCCCTTCTGTCACTCCCCAACAGGCCAACTGCCTCTGTGGTGTAGTGGATAGGCCTCAGTCCTGGAAGGTCGGTTTTTCAAACCCTGGCCGTGTCATACCAAAGATATTAAAAGATGATCCCTTCTGTCACTCCCCGACATGCCAGCTGCCTCTGTGGTGTAGTGGATAGGCCTCAGCCCAACACGGTCGGTGGTTCAATTCCTGGCCGCATCATACCAAAGATATTAAAAGATGATCCCTTCTGTCACTCCCCGACATGCCAGCTGCCTCTGTGGTGTAGTGGATAGGCCTCAGCCCAACACGGTCGGTGGTTCAATTCCTGGCCGCATCATACCAAAGATATTAATAGATGATCCCTTCTGTCACTCCCCGACATGCCAGCTGCCTCTGTGGTGTAGTGGATAGGCCTCAGCCCTTGACGGTCGGTGGTTCAATCCATTGCCGTGTCATTCAAGAGGGGATAGCCTAGTGCTTAAAGCGTTTGCTGAAGACCCGGGTTTGATTCCCCACATGAGTACAATGTGTGAAGCCCATTTCTCGGGTCCCCCACAGTTATATTGATGGAATATTGCTTAAAATGGTGTAAAGCACACACGCAGGCACGCACGCACGCACACACACACACACACACACACACACACACATTATCCACCAATTCATTAAAACAATCCGCAAACCATGTGGCAAAAGGTTATTGTTTAATTGTGAGCCCTCCTTGTTTTTAGAGATGTCTATTCCCCAAATTGTTACCCAATATGACCTATGACATTAGAGCTGGTTGCCATTTTTCATTCCCAGTTTGTGGCCCAATGAAAGCCAGAGTCCCTACCAGCAGAATCAGTCTCACTTTTGTAGCCTTGCCTCAAACACAGACAAGTCCTGCCAATATTGCCGATTGTGCCAAGCAGTTACGGATCCTCGTATCTATTTTGGGTGCACGTTGACAAAGTGATTACCGCATCTTGAGTGAATGGCGGTTTATTAATGCATGAGGTTCAGGGCTTATGTTTGCGGATCAATAAAACAATGTGAAGCCTCCGGCTCCCAAACCAAGAAAGTGGACAAGTTGCCAACTGAGTTGTGTATACATAATAGCACTTTTCCCTTTTTCCCTGGTTGTGTTCTCAAGAGAGACAAGAATGCTTAGATAAACAGCTTGATGATAGACATGATAGTAGCAAGAGGATGCCAGCACTGTTCATATGTTTAATAGTTTTCATCAGAATCAAACATGATGTCCATACTTTCATTTGAAAAATCAGGATTGTTTTTATAAAAACATAAGAATTGTTAGCTCACCTGAACTGAGCATGAGCTTATTCCCTAGCATGTTATCCATCTGTCAATTCTTCCCTTAGCACCACATTCTTCACCAAACTACTGTTCAAACCTGCATCATATTCAGACAATATGTCCTATGCCGTAACAAAATAGGATAGAATTTGTCTTCAACAACTCTTGCTTGTCAAAAAAGGCGACTAATGGGATCAGGTGGTCATTCTCGCTGACTTTGATATCATATCCTAGTTGGGTTGTCAGTCACAGGATTGTCTGGTCCAGACTTGATTATTATTATACAGCCATCATTTTGCTGGACTATTGTTGAGTGTGGCATTAAACAACAAACAAACAAAATCAAACAGAATAGGACTTAATTACAAACACTACAAGGAGCCATTGTTCATACATACTGTTACCATCCCCATTGTTATTTTCTTTAACCATTGAATACCTTGTTTTGAACATTTGGAGTACAGGTTTCTTCAAAATGGACAACAACAGTGTCAATCTAAAATTGAGACTGGGCTAAATATTTAATGAAGCACTCATAATATGTTGAAATATCTACATGGTGTATGGCTCATCACATGAACAGCTGATGGACTGCTGTGACAAAAACACTTAAACTGGATATACGGATATGAAAACATCCCTTGCTCCTGGTATGCACCAACTAAAATGGGGATCAGGTGGTCAGGTGGCTGATTGTATGTCATCATACCCTGATCACCTGAGACCACCTCCAATCTTCAGTTTGCCGAAGGTTTCATGCAGGTAGCTTTAGTCTCAACACTGGACCGAATGCTTTGACTCTGCATCCTCTATGTAAAGGAGAGATGCACGTCTTCAGACTGGGCAGACATCCTTGTTATACCTACAGGATTCATGCAGGTACTTGGCTCAACAGGTGTCCATGGGCTTTGTGTTTTCAATTGGAGATACTGATACTGTCAGCAGCCGAACCTCTTTCATGATCATTCATCGTGAGACTTCCACCCAAAAGCAGCCTGACACACCAACAACCTTGGATCAATGAAGGATCAACCTGCCGACATAAGTATCAGAAGAGTTCCTGCAGACTTCACCTTCCCCCACTGTTCAGACTCTACCTTCTCCCACTGTTCAGACTCCACCTTCCCACACTGTTCAGACTCCACCTTCCCCCACTGTTCAGACTTCACCTTCCCCCTCTGTTCAGACTTCACCTTCTCCCACTGTTCAGACTCTACCTTCCCTCACTGTTCAGACCCCACCTCCCACTGTTCAGACCTCGCTTTCTCCCACTGTTCAGATTTCACCTTCCCTCGCTGTTTAGGCTCCACCTTCCCTCACTGTTCATACCTCATCTTCTCCAAATGTTCATACATCATCTCCTCCCACTGTTGAGACTCCACATTCCCCCACTGTTCAGACTCCACCTTCCCTCACTGTTCAGACTCCACCTTCGATCACTGTTCAGACTCCACCTTCCCCCACTGTTCAGACTCCACCTTCCATCACTGTTCAGACTCCACCTTCCCCCACTGTTCAGACTTCACCTTCCCCCACTGTTCAGACTCCACCTTCCCTCACTGGTCAGACTTCACCTTCTCCCACTGTTCAGACTCCACCTTCCCCCACTGTTCAGACTTCACCTTCCCCCACTGTTCAGACTTCACCTTCCATCACTGTTCAGACTCCACCTTCTCCCACTGTTCAGACTCCACCTTCCCCCACTGTTCAGACTCCACCTTCCATTACTGTTCAGACTCCACCTTCCCCCACTGTTCAGACTCCACCTTCCCCCACTGTTCAGACTCCACCTTCTCCCACTGTTCAGACTCCACCTTCTCCCACTGTTCAGACTCCACCTTCTCCCACTGTTCAGACTCCACCTTCCCCCACTGTTCAGACTCCACCTTCCATTACTGTTCAGACTCCACCTTCTCCCACTGTTCAGATTCCACCTTCCCCCACTGTTCAGCCTACCTTCCCCCACTGTTCAGACTTCACCTTCTGCCACTGTTCAGACTCTACCTTCCCTCACTGTTCAGACCCCACCTCCCACTGTTCAGACCTCGCTTTCTCCCACTGTTCAGATTTCACCTTCCCTCGCTGTTTAGGCTCCACCTTCCCTCACTGTTCATACCTCATCTTCTCCAAATGTTCATACATCATCTCCTCCCACTGTTCAGACCCCACATTCCCCCACTGTTCAGACTCCACCTTCCCTCACTGTTCAGACCCCACCTCCCACTGTTCAGACCTCGCTTTCTCCGACTGTTCAGATTTCACCTTCCCTCGCTGTTTAGGCTCCACCTTCCCTCACTGTTCATACCTCATCTTCTCCCACTGTTCAGACTCCACCTTCGATCACTGTTCAGACTCCACCTTCGATCACTGTTCAGACTCCACCTTCCATCACTTTTCAGACTCCACCTTCCATCACTGTTCAGACTCCACCTTCCATCACTGTTCAGACTCCACCTTCCCCCACTGTTCAGACTTCACCTTCCCTCACTGTTCAGACTTCACCTTCCATCACTGTTCAGACTCCACCTTCCCCCACTGTTCAGACTCCACCTTCCCTCACTGTTCAGACTCCACCTTCCATCACTGTTCAGACTCCACCTTCTCCCACTGTTCAGACTTCACCTTCCATCACTGTTCAGACTCCACCTTCTCCCACTGTTCAGACTCCACCTTCCCCCACTGGTCAGACTTCACCTTCCATCACTGTTCAGACTTCACCTTCTCCCACTGTTCAGACTCCACCTTCCCCCACTGTTCAGACTCCACCTTCCCTCACTGTTCAGACCCCACCTTCCCCCACTGTTCAGACTCCACCTTCCATCACTGTTCAGACTTCACCTTCCCCCACTGTTCAGACTCCACCTTCCCCCACTGTTCAGACTCCACCTTCCCCCACTCTTCAGAATCCACCTTCCCTCACTGTTCAGACTCCACCTTCTCCCACTGTTCAGACTCCACCTTCCCCCACTGGTCAGACTTCACCTTCCATCACTGTTCAGACTTCACCTTCTCCCACTGTTCAAACTCCACCTTCCCCCACTGGTCAGACTTCACCTTCCATCACTGTTCAGACTTCACCTTCTCCCACTGTTCAGACTCCACCTTCCCCCACTGTTCAGACTCCACCTTCCCTCACTGTTCAGACCCCACCTTCCCCCACTGTTCAGACTCCACCTTCCCCCACTGTTCAGACTCCACCTTCCCCCACTGTTCAGACTCCACCTTCCCCCACTGTTCAGAATCCACCTTCCCTCACTGTTCAGACTCCACCTTCTCCCACTGTTCAGACTCCACCTTCCCCCACTGGTCAGACTCCACCTTCCCTCACTGTTCAGACTTCACCTTCCCTCACTGTTTAGACTCCACCTTCCCCGACTGTTCAGACTTCACCTTCCCCCACTGTTCAGACCCCACCTTCTCCCACTGTTCAGACTTCACCTTTCCCCACTGTTCAGACTTCACCTTCCCCCACTGTTCAGACCCAACCTTCTCCCACTGTTTAGACTTCACCTTCCCCCACTGTTCAGACCTCACCTTCCCCCACTGTTCAGACCCCACCTTCTCCCACTGTTTAGACTTCGTCCCCCTTCCCCCACTGTTCAGACTTCACCTTCCCCCACTGTTCAGACTTCACCTTCCCCCACTGTTCAGACCCCACCTTCTCCCACTGTTTAGACTTCGTCCCCCTTCCCCCACTGTTTAGACTCCACCTTCTCCCACTGTTCAGACTCCACCTTCCCTCACTGTTCAGACTTCACCTTCCCTCACTGTTTAGACTCCGACTTCCCCGACTGTTCAGACCCCACCTTCTCCCACTGTTTAGACTTCACCTTCCCCCACTGTTCAGACCTCACCTTCCCCCACTGTTCAGACCCTACCTTCTCCCACTGTTTAGACTTCGTCCCCCTTCCCCCACTGTTCAGACTTCACCTTCCCCCACTGTTCAGACCCCACCTTCTCCCACTGTTCAGACTTCACCTTCCCCCACTGTTCAGACTTCACCTTCCCCCACTGTTCAGACTTCACCTTCCCCCACTGTTCAGACTTCACCTTCCCTCACTGTTCAGACTCCACCTTCCCCCACTGTTCAGACCCCACCTTCTCCCACTGTTTAGACTTCACCTTCCCCCACTGGTCAGACTCCACCTTCCCCCACTGGTCAGACTTCACCTTCTCCCATTGTTTAGACTTCACCTTCCCCCACTGGTCAGACTCCACCTTCTCCCACTGTTCAGACTTCACCTTCCCCCACTGGTCAGACTTCACCTTCCCCCACTGTTTAGACTCCACCTTCCCCCACTGTTCAGACTCCACCTTCCCCCACTGTTCAGACTTCACCTTCTCCCACTGTTCAGACTCCACCTTCTCCCACTGTTCAGACTCCACCTTCCCCCACTGGTCAGACTTCACCTTCTCCCATTGTTTAGACTTCACCTTCCCCCACTGGTCAGACTCCACCTTCTCCCACTGTTCAGACTTCACCTTCCCCCACTGGTCAGACTTCACCTTCCCCCACTGTTTAGACTCCACCTTCCCCCACTGTTCAGACTCCACCTTCCCCCACTGTTCAGACTTCACCTTCTCCCACTGTTCAGACTCCACCTTCTCCCACTGTTCAGACTCCACCTTCCCCCACTGGTCAGACTTCACCTTCCCCCATAGGTATATAGGTTATGTAGAACAGCGGATGGACACATGCAAGAAAGTTAAAACAGGAAAAAATGGATTGAGAACATTAGTCATCATTTGAATGTTAAAGTTAAATCAAGACTTTTAATCAATACCTGTTCTAGAATTACACACCACAAGAATATCCTTGAAGAAACTGTTTTTCACTGATACGGCATGAAGGATACCTATTGGTAGACAAACCAAGGAAAATCCAGATATGTTTCTTTTGATCACCATTTTAGATTTTCCAAGAATTGCCATGGGTATAAACCCATGTCCTTAATATCAGGTGATAAACAGTGGAGGTTTACACCAGTCCTCAGGGGTTTGAGCTGAATGTTCTAAGCAGCTGAAAACATTTCTTTCAGAAACAAGTAATTGCAGTAAGTGTACAAGAGTGTTTTCTCACAGATCTGAAGAACATAAAACAAGTTTAAAACACAAAAATAAGTTAAGAAGTTTTAGTTTGACAGGATGCATAGCTCTTATGGAACAGCTTTGGCATTTAAATGGACAGTTCAGCGACTGGTGCTGCATGACTTGATGGCATTACGGTCCACAGCAGGCAGTTACATCCTCCCAAGTCCCCCCAATGGAGACAACATAATGTCTCCTAAATAGGGGGTAGCACAGTTTGTCTTGACCCGAGTTGAAAAAACCTTTCAGTTCATGAATTTTCTAATCCAAAATTCAGAATATTTTTCTTTTAAAAGGTAAGATCATATTTTATCAGTTTGTCACTGATGCACTCACATGTGACATTTATCTTTTAGGAAATTGATCAAATTTGGTACAAATGTTTTGGAGATAGAATTCTTGGTCAGTCAATGGCAGAGATGCAGTGTCAGTCAGCTATAAGGAAGTGCAACTGCTAAAGTAAGTGGGTGAGTATGGTTTTACGCCGCTTTTAGCAATATTCCAGCAATATCACGGTGGGGGACACCAGAAATGGGCGCCACACATTGAACCCATGTTGGGAATCGAACCCAGGTGTTCGGTGTGACGAGCGAACACTTTAACCACAAGGCTACCAGACCGCCCCCTAACTGCTAAAGAGTGGCATGGGGGGCGCAGTGATCAGATGCACTCTACCTCATCTTGTGTGTCTTAAATTAGCTCCAGGATCTTTGGCAATTGTTTCAAATCATTGACCTACCTTGATTATTGTCTATCATACTCATGATCTTGCTGCTGGTGGGGGCATGGGTGGCCCAGTTGTCTAAGGCGCCGCGATTAGCTGTGCAGAGTTGCGTCCCTTGGGCACGCCAGAAACCTATAATTGTGGGTTCGAATCCCGGTTCGCCCCTATTATGTTTCTAGGTTTGTCAGCACCATACCCGTGCTCGTGGGTTTCACCGAAGTGGTAAATGTCTGAGACCTGCATCACTTCAGGCTTTCCTCCCACATTAAGCTGACATGCCGTTATATAACTGGAATACTGTTAAAAGCGGCGATAAACCCAACTCACACTCACTCTTGCTGCTGGTTTCACTGAAGGAGGTTGAATGGTGTGACAACTGAAACATTTGACTGCTGTGATGTGACTGAAACGCTGTTTTGTTTGTTAAATCTGTCACTGATTCATGTGCTGTAGTTATCATGGTATATCAGGAACTAGATATGTATAGAAGAGTGGTCAGGTGAAGCTTGATCAAAGACACCAGTTCCGGACAAGGCATCCTGAAGAGAGAGACTGTTCTAGGTTTTTTCTGGAATCTGCCCACTGCTCTGAGCTAGTATTGACATGTGTGAACAGCAGGGATATCATATTATAGAACACCTTTGTAGACCCATGGGATTTCGGGGACAAGCTCAAAACTGTCAGAAAACATTTAATATATTTGTCATGTTATTTGTAGATGAGTAAAACTTTGTGAACATGAAATCTTCGAGTGTCCTTTCCATATTGTCAAGGTCACTGAGATGTTCAGTCAGAAGGTAGATGTGCCAGAAACCTATGATCCTAGGTTCGAATCCCAGATTTTCCCTGATTATGTTGCTTGGTTTGTCGGCAACCTGTGCTCGTGGGTTTCTCCAAAGTGGTAAGAATGTAAGATCTTCATTACATAAGGATTTCCTCCCACATCAAACAGACACACCGATATATTACTGACATACTGTACAGAGCAGCTTTAAACGCAACTTACTCATGCTGTGTGTTCCGTTCCCAATTCAATTTAGTGAGATAAAAATCTACAGGTAACCTAGCTCTACATTGGAAACACAGTATGTCTATATCCTAAATAGACAGAGCTTGTAACGGGCAATTTGGTATAGTTACCTGCCCCTAATTTCCATCAAGAGTAAGCAAGACACACTAGCTTGACTAACTAAACACAAATTTACTCTGAAGGAGTGAAACAAATGATCTGTTTCCTCCATGGGCAGAGACCTTGAAGAAATTAGGATTTGAATGACCTCTGGGTCAAGGTCACTTTAAAGGTGAAAGTAGATGTGCCTGTTATTGTTCTTTCTTCTTTTTCTCAACATGTTTAAATTCAATATATTTTGTTGATGTTTAACACTACTCGGAGGTGTGTAAATAAGCCAGTCCGGGGTAATCCAGTGATTGATATTGTGAACAAAGTCGTTGAACCTGACCACCCAATCCATTACCGTAAATCGCCTCTTACTTTCAAAATGAAATTGTTCCCATGAAAATCAATTGTGGATAAAATAGTCAGTTGTCTGATGAAGCCATTCTTCTTGGAGGGTCTGGATCAGTTCTTGTCTGTTGGCTGGAGGATGTGGTCGTTGTTGAACATGATGATAGATGACATTCCAGAGGTGTTCTATGTCTGGGGAGCATGCAGGCCATGGCAACACCTGGCTTATTGTGTGTCATTGTGCCCCAACATTGTGTATCATTGCTCATGCTTTTAACCAGTGGTTTGCCTTGGATAGACTTAATTACTCCCAGGCTGTGGTTTAGCTTGAATATTGCTGAACACAGTGCAAAACAACATTCACTCACTCACTCAGTCTGATACGGCTGCAATACTGCTGACATAAATATGGGTTTAACACCACATTCAAGATGTGTGTATGCCTGCTTGTACTAGTCTTGAATTAACCAGTTTTATAGGCTAGCCCACGGAAATATACTGTATCATGCTGCAGTTTAACACCTCACTCAGACACAGTATGCCAGCTCCGAGCTGACCAGTCCATGTTTTAACCCCCTAAGTGACAGGCAGGGTTAAAATAAGCACCAGGGCCTACTTGCACAAAGCGATCCTAGCGCTACGACTATTGTAAACCTATACTAAAGTACGGGTGTTACGATCATCCTAGCGCTAAGATCGCTTTGTGCAAGTGGGCCTAGCTTTTGACCTCTTCTGGTATGACATAGTATGACATGGCCGGGGATCAAACCACCAACATTCTGCTCTCCAGGCAGATGCTCTACCACTAGAACCCTATCCACTACAGCACAGGGGGAGTTGGCATGCTGGTGAGTGACAAGAAGAAAGGATTATCACAACTGAACTTATCAACCACCACAAATGTTCATGATATTTCATTTGACCTGTACTATGTCACTAATTCACAGATTGATACATGTTTTTACCCTCATGTAAGTCATGAACTCATTTCAACATTTCTAGGCAATTCATAATGGTTATGTAAACAGTATCAAATTTATTCAGTCAATGAAGGATTATTTTTTTCTTGTCGGGTGACTTTTGCCAAGTTTGATACAGGTCATTCAAAATGCAAATTGTCAAGTAGGTTATTGGCAACCTATTTATCACTCAATCTGATGTTGATGACTTTTTACATGCATGTTATGAGGACCAGTAGACATTAACATCCAATTATTGGTTAGTTTGTTAATCACATCACACAGTCAGCAATATTCCAACCGTGTCATGGCAACCTGTAAATAACTGAGTCGTTGAAAGCAAACCATTGGTCGGAATGTTATATGCACATAGAAAGTCCGACCACACAATCCCCACTTATGTTGGCTCACATTGAGCTGATGGAACCACCATTGATTGGTCGGAATGTTATATGCACACAGAAAGTCCGACCACACAATCCCCACTTATGTTGGCTCACATTGAGCTGATGGAACCACGATTGAGTGGTCAGAATGTTATATGCAAACAGAAAGTCCGACCACACAATCCCCACTTATGTTGGCTCACATTGAGCTGATGGAACCACCATTGAATATTCCCTGTGAAACACAATGTCATTCATAAAGTGGGCATATGTAGCAAATGTTATGCTTGGGGTTACAATCATTTTGTAAAGTACAAATTCTAGTACCAGTACTGGTACTTTACATTACAAAGAGAGTGTAATCCCCAGTATGACATTTGATATTTGATATTCACTGCTTCGAAACATGCAATTTCTTTGGGGAAAAGAGTTGCCTATCAATATTAAAAAAATCACAGAACATTTTTTTCAGGACATTTCGTTTGTCCAGTGAACAATTTATCTTTGTTGTAAAACCTGAGAGACATTATTTTTTTAGTTATCCCAGACCATCCCTAGAATATCAAGTGATCCCTAACTGAATGCATTATGTCAGATGTTTGTTTAGTATTTTTTTTAAATCTACTTTAAAAAGATTGGTTGACAGTATCATTGACGTACAGTTGTTAGGATGAAACATATTGAACAAAATGTCTATATTTAGAGAGAAACATACATCACTCCATTCCTTAGACTTTTCATGCAAATCTTACCTCTTGTGGAAACATGCCAAGGTACAAACTATTTTGACTTTGAAAACTATAAAGTAATCTATAACTGGAAGATACAAAACACACAAACAACCAAAGCCCCTTACAGGAACAACACTGAAGCTCTTTTCGTGATCACAGGCTCAAACAGGTTCACCGAGTTCATGAACATGCTTGTCCCTTGCTGTTTGAAAAGTCAAGTTTTATTTGTCAGAAAGTCTTTTGTAGTGTGTACACCACCATTAGCCGAGGCTGTAATATATCTGGGACTGGCTGTGT